GTCACACCAGCAATGTGTGAGCCTCTACAAGGGATATAAGGCTTTTTACAGCCTATGAATTCAGAGACATAATCAAACTGGTTGTGTATGTAAAAATAAATTATTTAATACAAAAATGTAATGGAACTTCTTGTTTAATGGGTCCAGAACTTCAGTTTTCAACATGAAAAAGTCTGGGTGCCAGTAGTTAGCGTAATGGCTATGTCGCTGGACTCCCATGTAGGTGACTGCGGGTCGAGTCCCAGACCCAGTGGCTTAAACTCACGCCAGGCGCGTGTGTATGCATGCCCACGATCCCGAGAGGAGAGTGAAGGAGAAGGGATTGCAGCGTGGCCATCCCCCCTGGGGGGTGATTTCTCGCTTTCTGTCTCTTTGTCTCTCTCTGACTTTCTGGCAGGAACCCCTCCAAAAAAAAAAAAAAAAAAGAAAGAAAGAAAAAATCTAGAGATGAGTGGCATAATAGTGTAATTACACTTAATACTTCTATGCACTTAAAAAATGGCTAAGGTGGCACATTTTATATGCGTTTTGTCACAATTAAAAATAACAGTCAGGGCTGGCTCAGTGACCACAGTAACATGCAGCTGGAGGGCTGCAGATCTGGTTCCCCAGAGGACCTGTGTGTGCTGGACACACGTGCCCGTGATCCTAGCTGGGAAGGCTGGGGGTGGGGGTCATGGGATAAGACCCTGTTGAGGGTGTCTGTCTTTCTCTCTCAGAAGAAATACACTTTTAAAAATGAAAAAAACAAATTTAAATCATTTTAATACTATGGGGCTTCAACAGGGGCCAGACAGTCCCAGTCAGAGGAAGTGGTTCTGAGTTAAACCCAGAAGTAGAGGTGGAACAGCCACAATCGCAGAGAGCCTTTCTTGTACATTTGCGGAGAGCAGCCAGTCTGGAAAAACATGTGCCCTTTAGACGCATGGAGACATGCACTTGCCTGAGCTACTCTACCAGTGGCTATTGAGAAGCATTTATGTACGAAAGCACTGTCCGTTGCTATCGGTCATCTTCCTGTTGTTGGTACCCAATACCGATACCGATACCGATACCGCACGGCAGTATGAGGCTAAAGGAAGCTACATGTGTTTATCAGATTCTCCCCCAAAAGGTCAGAGAAATTACATGGCGCCAGTCGTTCTCACATCTTCAGACAGCTGACATCAAAAACAACGGGCTTTGCATTCCATTTCCTTCTCCCCCATTCTCTTTGCATCCCGTTTCTTCTTCTCCCATTTTCTGCCCTTTAAAAGAATAAACCTGAGGCCGTTTTTGGGTCACAACTTCTCCGTCAGAGAAGCTGGGCCCACAGGATCCTCGCTTTTCTATACTTGTGTCTTTGTTATAACGTCTATTCTTTTTAAAAAAAAATTATTTATTTATTCATTCATTTATTATTATTTTTAGTTTGACCAGAAAGAGACAGAGGATGAGACTGAGAGAGAGAGGAAGTGAGAAAGCAAGTCACCAGATTCAGGACTTGAACCCTGGTCGGCCATATGGGAGTGTCCAGCGCCTTAATCACCATGCCACCTGCAGGTCCCCTATTGCATCTATTCTAATCCAGTCTTCCCCACTCAGAAAAAGGTGTTTGGCCGACTCAGGCCTCTCCATACTTTAATTTGGATGACCCTCTCCAAACCAAACCAGGTAGATACCATTGTTCTCTGCAGTCTGACTTCAATCCAGGAGAAAGTCAGAATTCTTTTGGTTCATCTAAAAAATGCCAATATATTTCCACAAAATGTCCAAATTAAAAAAAAAAAAAGGAGAAGTAAGTTTTCTGTATCTATTTTATTCATGTAGAGAGATTGTTTATAGTTTTAAACAGTGTCTAGAAAACCTCAGTGAAGTAATGGACATCTTACAAATGTTTGTGGTATATAATTACGGTACTCAGCTTTGAATTTACAAAAATCAGAAATCCCCCCCCCAAGTCACAAAGTTTCGCTATATGACAATGAAATGAAAACAACTACAGCTACGTCTACTGAATGCTTGGTTTCACTTAATAACAACAACAAAAAAGTATTCTTAATTTAATTTTTTTTAAATAAAAAGTTTGCTAACCTCTGCATGTCTGAGCTTGGTGACACTTAACAGGTGTCCCTCCTCCCCTCTTCTCAACACAAACCAGCCTTTGGCATATGATTACCGCCCCAGTCCAATCAGTTGCAAAATAAAAAGAAAAAGGTTGATAATGTCCAGGTAGATGTTCAGGGCAGCAAAAATGTACTCCTCAGGGTCCAGGTCAGAATGGTGATGGCGCCCTCCCACCATGAGCTGCACATCCATTACCAGATACTGGAAGGAAAGGAAGGATTAATACTTAGCATGTACATTTCTATCAAACATGTCTCTTCCTTGATCTGGAAAAAGTGTTTTAGCATCAGAAAGATACTCCAGGGACCAGCAGATGGCATAGTGGTTACGTCACAGGACTCCCACGTGGCCAACCACAGTTCGAGTCCCAGACCCAGTAGCTTGAAACTCACATCAGGCACATGTGCATGGGTTCAGTGCTACACTGAACCACCAGTCAGCTGCCATTTGTTGTCCTGGATGTCAGTGCCAACCTTGCCTGTCACACTGCGGTCCCCAAAGAGTTTGAGGTAGTCATGCTGAATCTGAGATAACTCTCCCATCTCCAGCAGGATCTTCCTGGTGTGGGCATGTCCCTTCTCCCGGTCAATGCTCACCATACACATGTCAGTGGCCACAGGGAGGTAGAAGGAGTAGAAAGCAGTCTTGAACTTGACAATAGACATACCTCCTTTCAGTGAATCTGTCATGGGTGCCCAGAATCCTGAGAGGAGAGTAGAGGGGAAGGGATTGTGGTGTGGCTATCTCCCCTAGGGGGTGATTTCTCACTTTCTGTCTCCCTGTCTCTCTCTCTCTTGCTAGTACAAGTGCCCAATCACAAAAATCTCTCAAAAAAAAAAAAAAGAAAGAAAGATATCATAGATACCCATATAATTCTTATTCTCCAATTATACATATATGTTCATACAGAAAGAGCAGAAGATACACAATCTTACAGTATAATTATAGGCAGGTCATCCCTGATCATTAGTTCACAGTTTCAGTCTAGGTCTAAGGGTCGGACAGGAGATTTATGTATAACAAGTTAAATCTGTTCAAGAGCCCTGGTGACACAAATTGATCTGATAGGGACTGACTAAATTTTTCCCCATATAAGAAGAAAATATACAAAATGATCTTTTAAAAAGTCCTTTGCAGGGTGGTCAGCAGGTGTCATAATGGTTGAGGCTCTGGACTCCTACATAGTTGACTACAGTTTGAATCCCAGACCTGGCAGCTTGTTTTCTCACTTTCCCTCCTCCCCACTCTCTTTCTCTAGTGAGTGCATGTGCCCTATCACAAAAGTTTTTAAATAATAAATAAAAGATTTTTAAAATTCTTTTTTAAAAAATCCCTTATTGTGATGAGAGGTTGACAGAGGTGCCACCATATAACGTGACATAACACTTACTGCCCCACTCATAACAGCACATGTTAAAATGGACAGGTGAGCAGTGGGACTGGCGTAGGAATGAGGCTGCCTGCTTACAGCATTGCTCAGAAACGTGATTGCAGCATCACTGCTTCCTGTAGTCAAAGTAACTGGCCTGCCACTCCCTCTGCACATGCTCCTTCACTTAAGACGTTAGGAGCATTTCTGTTGGACTGATCCAGCTAACGCCTGTGTGTGCTCTTTTTATTTTCTTTCTTTCTTTTTTTTTGATTACACAATAATTTATTGAAAGCCTCCCCCTCTCTACCATTGCTATCAGTAGGTCACTTCTTTCACTTATAGATCTTGTCTGCTAGCCCCAGGAAGAAGGCCTGGGGCAAAGGCATCACCTATTGCTCAATGAGGCCGAGAAGGCCGCTGTAACTGTCTCCCTCGGGTGCAAGAACATGGCCTGAAGATCCAGCTCCTCATGTAAGGCCTTCACTGGGGCCTTCACTAGGGCCACCTCCTCAGCCTCCTTCTGGTATTTAGGATCAGAATAAAGAGTAAAAAAAAAAATAAAGGAATATAATTTTTTTAAAAAGGAGGTTGGGGAGTCAGCCCCAAGGCTTATGGTTAAGGGAGCCAGATTCCACATGGCCAACTGTGGTCCAAATCCAGGTCCCGGCAGCTGGAAAATAATACTGCACACATGTGCATGCATGCCTCAAATCCTGACAGGACGGAGATGAGGAGAAGAGATTGTGGCAGGACCACGCCCCATTTTGGGGGTGCTTTCTCCCTCTCCTCTTTCTGTCTCTCTCTCTGGCAAGCACATGTGCCCTCTGACAATTAAAAAAGAAAAGAAAAAAAAAAAGAAAACATTACAGAAAGTCACTTTATGACTAAATATGTTATTCTTACAACCTGGATCATTCAAGATGTCCCCGAGTTTATACTCTGCCAGAGTAAGTGTCTCGTCTTCCTGGGGCCTGTGGGGCCAAGTCTGTGACCCTTCCTTTGCTCTCCAAATCCCAAACCTTCTGTACCTTTCATCAGCGATGGGGACCAGGCAGACCCATCCGCACAGGGAGAAAGCACAAATCGCCCTGTGTTCATGCTCCCCACCCACTATTGTTCTTGCTGAACAAAGAAAGAAAAATAAAGATGACTCTCATTTCAATTCACGCAGAAAGCATTTCTGCAGTTTCACAACTTTGAGTGACAGTAAACCTCACCGATTGGTGTTGGCTTCATGCTGATGTCAGTATATCCAAAACAGAATGAGGGAGAGAGGGCATTGGTAGGTGGTTAGCTAAGCCCAGAATACGCGTTTCGGCTCAGCTGCAGTAGGTAAGGTTGTGACCTCCTGAAACACCGAGGGAGTCGGAGTCGGAGCGCCTTCTCCCACCCTGGCGAGGGTTGCTAAGTGAGCAGACTCGGTGCCCTGAGTGCCATAGAGGGAGGGAGGGAAAACAACAGGCTCAGTCTCTGCTGTTCAGACTCCAGACGAAGGGTCTAGAGCTGAGAGGCAAAACCCCTTCGGACCAGTGCTGGAATTTGAGTGAATACCTGAGGTCTTTTTTGTTTTGTCTTGTTTTGTTTTGTTCCGTTTTGGGTTTTTTTGAGAGGTTTTTGCTATAGGGCGCATGCGCTTGCCATGTAGACAGACACAAAGAGACAGAAAGTGAGAAATCACCCCAGGAGGGATGGCCACGCCACAATTCCTTCTCCTCCATTCCCCTCTCGGGATCTTGGGCACGCACGCACATGCACCCAGCTCGAGTTTTAAGCCACCAAGGCTGGAACTCGAACCGCAGTTGACTACATGGGAGTCCAGTGACATAGCCATTACGCTAACTGCTGGTCTCAATACCTGAGGTTTTAAAGACTCTTTACAATCATCCATTTTGGGATTACTACCCACTTCCTCAAAACATATCCCAGGAATTCAGGTCTTGGCTCTCCCTCCCCTGGTTTCCTCCTGGGCTTGTAAGAGTGAGGTGAGGGACCAGCAGATGGTATCATATTACGTCACAGGACTCTCATGTAGTTTACTGTGGTTCAAGTCCTGAAGCCAGCTGCTTAAAACTCACGCTGGGTGTGTGCACATGTGTGGTCAAAATCCTGAGAGAAGGGAGGAGAAGAGATTGCAGTATAGCCACAGATTGGCCACAAGAGATTGCAAGGACCATCCCCCCTGGGGGTGATCTCCTACTTTTTTGTCTCTCTCTGTCTCTGTCTCTGTCTCTCCTGCAAACACACATGCACTATAGCAGAATCTCTCTAAAAAAAAAAAAAAAAAAAAAAGGAGGGGAAGGGAGGGAGGGAACAGGATGAAAGCCGTGGAAGCCTCACCCCAGGTTCATTACAGATGGCGTCTCATGTAGAACAGAAACAACACAGTGGAGCCAGCGAGATTTAACTGAGCCTTGGAGAGGGGAGAAGGTGCCGTAGAGGGTAGGGGAGAAGGGAGTCAGGCCTGAGCCTGGGAGACGCCAATGACGCAGGTGAACCACTGACTGTTCTCCTCCCTCTCCCTGTCTCATTCCAGCACCTTTGGAGGCAGAAAGGTTAGGGTGACCAACCACTCTGGGACTAGAGCATCCCAGAAATCCCTCAGTTCCAGCCAAACTGGAGCAGTCGCCCTACAAAATGACCCCTGGTGGCAGTGTCCAGCTTAACTCTCAGCCTCCCTACCACCCTGCATAGGAGTTATTTCTTATTTCTTATAAGGGGGATAACAACTCCAGTCACTTCACAGACATGGACGGGGTGGTGGGAAGGATCAGAAGTAAATCTCAGGAAAGGTTGTGTGTCAGGGCAGACAGGAAAGTGGGAAAGTAAGATGAGCTGGGATCCAGCTGCGCCCCGGCCTGTCTAGGGGGAACAGGGCTCAGGATCCCACAGGGAAGCCCCGGGAGCACTTGGGCATGGGGCACCCTGCCCTCAACTCTGGTAGTTAAGCATCTGCACACAAGCACCCCCACAAAACAACTCAACTTCCCTCTTCAGTGACTTGTTTGGAGTGGAGTAAACAAGAGCTTTTGCTCTGTTTGTGAACAGGGAGCAGAAACACCAACATACGTTCGCCTGACTATGAACTGCCCAACACGGGCCACAGAGAGCGAGCAGTTGTACCTGAAGGCTGAGCGCACAGGAAGAAAGGGAAATGGTGTCGGTCAGTTCCTTTTATAAGAGAGGAATAAGAAAACTGAAATACACACATTTAACCTTACCTCCTGGTGTGACTTCTTCTAACATCTAAAAATAGGACGCTAGAGGGGCCAGCAGTTGGTTTAATGGCTATGCCGCTGGACTCTCATATAGTCAACTGTGGTTCGAGTCCCAGATCCAGTGGCTTAAACTCACGCCGGGCACATGTGCATACGTGCCCAAGATCCAGAGAGGAAAATGGAGGAGAAGGGATTACAGTGTGGCCATCCTCCCTTGGGGGATGATTTCTCGCTTTCTGTCTCTCTGTCTTTCTGGCACATGCATGCACCCTGTAGCAAAAACCTCTCAATAAATAAATAAATAAATAAATAAATAAATAAATAGATAGATAGATAGATAGATAGATAGATAGATAGATAGATAGATATTTTATATTTATTAGATAGCTGGTGGCCTGGTGGTTAAGGCAGCTAGATCCCACATGGCTGACTATGTGATTCAAGTCCTGGGCAGCAACTTGAGAACACCCTGGGCAGATGTGCTTACATGCCCAAAATCCTGAAAGGAAGGAGAGATGGAGGAAGGGTACTATTTTGCTTTCCCTTGTTCGCTCTCTCTCTCTCTCTCTCTCTGTCTCTTTTTTCTGAGCACACATGCTCTCTCTTTTCTTAAAAAGAAAGGAAAAGAAAAAACTTACTGTAGCAGGGTGTGGTTTTATCTTTTTCCCCCAGATAATTCCCTTTTTTTTTTTTTTTTTTTAAATTTGTAAGAGGGCACATGCACACAGAGAGAGGAAGGGAAGCAAAAAGCATCACCTATTCGTCGTGGTCATCCTGCAATCACCTCTTCTTCCCATTGAGGTTTTGGGCACAGACACATGTGGCTAGCGTGTTTCTCAAGCTACTGGTCTACGGACTCCCGCTGCACAGTCGGCCATGTGGGATCTGGCTATCCTAACCACCAGACCATGAACTCGTCCACAATAAATTTTTAAGTTTATAAATAATTCTTCATTCTTGTCTTAAATATTGGTTCATTCAAGAAAATCACCCAGCTCTTGTGGGGCAGTGGTTTTAAATACAATCCTTAAGAGTGGGCGCGTCACAGAAGGCCTGCCCATGAGTCTCTTGATTCCATGGGACCCCAGGCTTGTCAATGCACATACCCCATTCTTAATCAGAGACTTGGAGAAATGAACTCACAAGTGAGAAGAGCACAGTTCCAAGTCCGGCGTACAGCAGATGCAGCCACTGCAAAGGGAAAGAAGACATTCGAGTGTTAAGAAAGAGAGTCGAATGAAAGAGCATGCACATGTCACTGATATCAGAGAAGGACCCAATATTAGGAAAGTCAGACCTATGAGGGAATGAACTGTTTCTTGGACATAATCGACAGTATCCACTCAATTCCAGTGAGCAAGCAAATAAAAACTAACCTTGCACATGCCAAATAATGTTTATCACATGTACTGAGCATCTCATGCGTGGTAGGGCAAGTAGAATATATGAGACATGTTTTGCTTTTTGCCTCATCTACATCTAGTAGTCCTACTAGAGAATCTGCCCTCTCTTCAGTTCTCGTAACAGGTACCCCTGGGGACATCATAGTAACCCTCACACACCCTAAGTAGAGTTGGTTAACAAAGAACTTCAAATAAGCAGCGCCCCATATAGGAGCTGCAGCTCTTGCAGGTAGCTTCCCCTGAAGACCCTCTAGAGAAAGGACCAAGTAGAGTTGGTTAACAAAGGTAGAAGACACCCTCCCTACAGTGACTCTGTTGCCAGGTAAGGAACTTGTGTGCGTGTGTGTATGTGTGTGTGTGGTGTTTTAGACAGGGTTTTGCCATGTCTTCCTGCCTCAGTCTCCTTAGTGGCCAGGATTATAGGTGCATACCATCACACTGGCTTTTTATTTTAGGGTGGGCTAGGAATCAAACCCGGGCCTCACATGTGGTTTCAGCCTGCCAAGCAGCAGCGTTCAGCACATGCTACTTCAGCTGGATCTTCTAATTTGTGACTGGGCATAAACAGATATGCCAGGCCAGTTGGAAATCAACAGGCCAGAGGGGTCCAAGCATCCCTGATGTATCATAGACAATAATGGAGCTGTTCTTGCATGAGCACAGGGAGCCATTTAAGTCAGCCCCAAGAGCAAGGTAGAGCTTCCCTTTCTGTGACTCTTGCCTTTTGGGCCAACTAGGAGTTCCATGAGATTCTCTAGTGTCTTTCTTGAGCTAGTCTGAGTGGTGTCTGTTCATTGCAAATAAAAGTCCAGATTAGAATATGGGACTAGTCTACCTACCACAGGCTTTGCCTGAAAATGGGAAGGGGACAAGGAAGTGAAAAAAAAATGCAGCATTAACTCTTCAGGTTGAGATGGCTGCTCCTGAGGGAGAAAGGCTGGGCACTCTGCTAACCAGGGGAGGTTCTGGGTGAAGGGAGACCAGCAGTCAGTAACATACTGCACAGTATTTCCAGACTGAGCTCACAGTATTTTCATACCTGATAGCTCAAGGCCAAAGGATTTAAAATTAGGACTCTATCGGAGTCTTCCATTTAAACATATGTATAAGATTACAGACTGTAGACACTTATGTAAGAAAATTTAGAATGGGAACTGGGGTCAATCTACCTATCTAATAGGAAACAGAATTTTCAACCCCACCTGATACTGTAAAAGTCAATGGAACACACCTTGTATTGTTACTTCCAATACCTCTGCTACCATCACTAAAAACGTAAGGAGAGGCCCAGCCACAGTAGTGCACATGACACTTCTGTTAGCAGGGTGGGGCCTCATAGGAGCCCTGGGTTCAATTCCCAGCCCACCCTCAAAGGCTGAGGGGGTGCCATATGCCTGAAGTCCCAGCTACTCGGGAAGCTGAGGCAGGAGGGTCATGACACAGGAGGCCCTGCCCAAAATACCACACACACACACACACACACACACACAAACACACAATACACACACAATACTTCTGATAATAAATGGATAGCTGTGGCCTATTAAGGCACAACTTTGTGATGCTTTTGAGCTTATTTCTACAACACAGATGCCAGCTTCCTAACTATAAGCCTGCATGGTCATTCATAAAGCTAAGCCAATCCAGGCAGACCTGCTGGACCTGTGTCTGAAGACCGTGTAGCAAGTCCACTTGTTGCCAAAGAAACTCAATGGATGAACATTTGGACCAAACTTTGGACCTTTTGTCAAAGATTCACAAGCCCCCAGGCCAGTTCTTTGTAGACTGCCTCCAACAGGGTCTCCGCACAGGGGCCACTCTCAGACAGACACTGCCAGGTCAGATCGTGTCCCATGCCCCATGGAGCCCCCTCTAGAATCAGTCCCCAGGCAGTGCGGTAAGGCGAAAAAGCAAAGGTACTGGAGCCACATGAGCTGGTCCATGCCACTCCTGCTGCTTACTCCCTATGGGAACTGGGGTACGTGGTTTAACTTCCCTAAGCTGTTTTCTTGTCTGTAAAACAGATGCTGATTTTCAGAAATGCTGTGAGAACCACATGTGAAAACACACAGGCCTGTGTTTAATATCTAGGAATCATTCATTGAGTACATTAAAGCAAAGGAAAAAAGGCTGGAATTGGAAAATAAGGAGCCTCTGCTAAGCTACTGTTGGAAAAAGCCACACAAGCCTCTTTTTTCCACTCCCCGAACTTCAAATAAGCAGCACCCCCATATAGGAGCTTCCCCTGCAGACCCTCTAGAGAAAGGACCACTGTAATCTAGGGTAGGAGCTCGATATTCATGTAGCCGATATCCTGTCATGGTGCCTTCTACAATGACAGGAGGTGGCCACTAGACAGACCTCACAGATTCAACTGTCAGGAGGACAGTGTCACTACCCACAGTACTGTGTGCCATGGGCCACACTGCAGTTTGTCCCAGGGCCACCTTCCCACCTCTCAGTCATTGGCTGGGAGACCCGGGATGACTCTGATGGTCACTTCAGCCTCATGACCTCCATTAGTCCACACTGTGTCTGTCCAGGATGCTCCTACCCAACCTTCCTTCCGTGTCCTTTCTCTGGGGTTGATAGCCCCACCCTCCATCCTACTCAGCTCCTTCCCCCATTTCTCTCCTAGACATTTCTCTTATTAAAAATCTTTGTATGTTTAACTCCAACTCAGTGTCTTCTTCTCAGGGAACCTGGACCCACAGAACCAGTGCTTCACTGAATTTTTAATAATGATTCTCGGAGGTTTTTTTTAACTTTTTTTTTTGGAGAGGTTTTTGCTATAGGGGATCTTGGGACACGAACCACGGTCGACTACGTGGGAGTCCAGCGACAGAGCCATTAAGCTAACTGCTGGTTCCCACTTTTTTTTTTTTTGAAAAGGTTTTTGTTTTGTTTTGTTTTTCCTATAGGGCATGTGCGCTCGCCAGAAAGACAGAGAGACAGAGAGGCAGAAAGCAAGAAATCACCCTCCCCCCGGGGGGGTGGCCATGCCGCAATCCCCTCTCCTCTATTCTCCTCTCAGGATCTTGGGCACGTACACGCACACACACATGCCCAGTGTGAGTTTAAGCCACCGAGTCCAGGACGCAAAGCGCAGTCGACTACATGGAAGTCCAGCGACATAGCCATTACGCTAACTGCTGGTCCCATTCTCGGAGGTTTTCAAATGAGACCCCACTTACATACGATCTTATGAAGAGTAAGATAATTCCATACACCAGAAGGACGAAGAGGAAAACAAACAGCACTCCATTCAGCAAGGTGAAATCCCACTGAGGAAACAAACAGCACACAGACCCCTCAGTTGTCATCTAGGAGAGATTTCAGGATGTATCTTAAACCCATAGACAGAACCCAGCCCATTGCTAACAACATATCCTGGCCAGTTCAGATCCATGGGAATCCACCAGGCCCAACCATTGAAAATGCGGGCTGGGATTTGCTTCAGGAGGGAGGAAAAGGCAGGAGTGGGGATGAAATGATGACAGCGACAAGCTGATAAATGTTTGAGACGGAATAACCCAGTACTTGGGGGTTACCATACTATTCTATTTCTGTATTTCTATGAACTTTCCCCTAACAAAAAAGGTACACTGGGGACCAGCAGGTGGTGTGGTGGTTAAAGCGCTGAACACTCCCACATAACCGACTACGGTTTGAGTCCCAGACCTGGTTGCTTGCTGTCTCACTTTCTCTCTGTCTCTCTCTGGTCAAAGTAAAATAAATGAATTAATAAATAAATTAAATTAAAATAAATAATTCTTAAAAAATAGCTGTGTCTGTTTTAAAAAAAGGTACATTGAATAAGTAGGATGTAAATATGTATGCATGGTATAATTATTTTGTATTTTTAAAAGCATCAGTTGGGGCCGGCAGGTAGCGTGGTGGTCAGGGGCGCTGGACTCCCACATGGCCGACGGCCATTTAAGTCCCAGACCTTGAGGCTTGTTTTCTCATTTTCCTTCTCTCTCTCTCTCTCTTTCTCACTCTATTCTGCTCTGGTCAAATTAAAACAAACAAACAAATAAATAAATAAAAGTTAAAAAAATTTTTAAAGCATCAATTAAATAAAATATACCAGGATGTTAACGGGGTATCTTTTTCATGTTTATATGTATACATTTTAATAAAAATACATATCAAGTTTTCAAAAATTAATGATTCTTTTTGTAATCTTGAAATTTATTTATTTATTTAGAGAGATTTTTGCTATAGGGTGTGTGTATTCGCCAAAAAGACAGAGACAGAGAGACAGGAAGTGAGAAATCAGCCCCCAGGGGGAATGGACATGCCACAATCCCTTCTCCTGCATTCTCCTCTTAGGATTTTGGACATGCACACCTACGTGCCCAGCATGAGTTTCAAGCCACTGGGTTGGGAACCTGAACTGCAGAAAGCCACGTGGGAATCCAGCGACGTAGCCATTATACCATCTGCTGGTCCTGTAATCTTGAAATTTATTCATGTGAGTTTCATTTTATTCATGTAAACCAGGGACCCAATTTTGCCTGGGATGATTAAGGGTTTTGTTTTTCGTTTTTTAAGGAAGGGGATATTTATTTTCTGGCCTGAAAAAAGAAGGTGGATTATGTGGCAAAAGAAGAGCCTTGAATCCAGGATATTTTCTTGTGAAAACATTTTCCTTCAACCTCTATTTCCCCCTCTTACCTCCTACACTTAACACATCAAGGTTAATCTAAAGCACTCAGGGACCAGCAGTTAGCGTAATGGCTATGTCGCTGGACTCCCATGTAGTCAGCCACAGTTTGCTTCCTGGACCTGGTGGCTTAAAACTCATGCAGGGTGCATGTGCGTGCATTGCGCAAGATTCCGAGAGGAGAGGAGAATGGAAGAGGAGGGATTGTGGCGTGGCCATCCCCCCGGGGGGATGATTTCTCGCTTTCTGTCTCTCCGTCTCTGTCTGTCTGGCAAGTGCACATGCCCTATAGCAAAAACCTTTCAAAAAAAAAAAAATCGAAAGCACTCATTCTCTGAAGTATGGTTCTGAAACCAACGGTGTTAGCCCTACCCTAGTCTTACTGATATAGCAGTTCTAGGGCAGAGAGTAATCTGCATTTTAAAAAATTATTATTTTAATTTTATTAGTATTATCTTTTTAAAAAGTTTTTGGTGTGGGATATGTGTGCTCATCAGAGAGAGACAGAGAGAGAGAGTGAGAAAGCAAGTCACCAGGTCCAGGACTCAAATTGGGTCTGCCATGTGGGATTCCAACACCTTAACCACCACGCCACCTGCTGGCCAGTCTGCATTTTAACAACCTCCTGGTGATTCTGCTGCACAATAAATCAGCAGCAAACCAGAGCAGTGCTTTCTATACAGTAGTCTCTAGCCACATGTAGCTATTAAGATCTGGCTAGTTCAGATTGTTGTTTGCTATAAGTATAAAATACATACTAGATTTCTAATTTTAGCTAAATAAAACAAACACAAACAAAACCAGAATATAAGGTGCAAGATGGTGGTCACGGTAAAAATGCAACACTCTGCGAGGCTGATCCACATGGGAGGGTTTTGGGTTTGTATCCAGAGTCCTCCCTGAGTATGCCCGGCACATCTAGGACCATGACCTGGGGCCGGCAGAAACCGGAGGGTGGATCGTGGCATTGGGACCCTGTCCAGGCTGCCCCCATGTCTATCTCTGCCTCTATTCACGGAAGAAATAAATAAACAATTTTTGGAAGCCTGTGAAATATCCTATTAATAATTTTATTATATGGATTGCATGTTGAACTGGCAATACTTCACATATATTGGGTTAAATAAAATGTATTGTTAAAAATAATTTCACTGGTTTCTTTTTCCCGTTTAGTGTTGTTACTAGGAAAGTTTAAATGATTATGTATGACTTGCATTCACGGCTCTCCTTACGTTTCTCTTGGACAGCACAGGTCTAGAGAGCAACAAATCTGGCTATGACAGTGAGACCCTAAGGCTTGCTCCAGTGTGGCAGAAAGATGTGACATTGAGGAAGGACAACTGGGCTGAGCCTAATTCAGGAGGCCAGCCCTGTCAGTTCTGGCCAGGCCCCAGCAAGGACAGGCTCTATATCATGTTAGAGGTAGACTTTCAGCTTTAGAGGCTGCTATGGTTCAAATGTTTGTCCTTTTAAAAAAAAATAATTGAAACTTAATTGCCAACATAATTATTGGGATGTTGAAGTCATGACACATTTTTTGCATAAATGAAAACAAAACAAAACAAAAATACATCATGACTTTTCTGACAATCCAATATTAAAAGGTAATTTTGGCAGGGCCTCACTGTGTCCCGATCCTCTGCCCTAGCCTCCCAGGTAACTACGATTACAGGCATGTGCTGTAGCACTCAGTCTGATTAGGTAGCTCTGGGAACCGAACCTGGATCTCCCATGTGGCCCTAGCTTCACACAGCAGTGATCTATTATTTGAACCACTGGAACTGGGCCCTAAAAATGGTGTTTTAATAAGGGAGTAGGGGAGCCGGCAGATGGGGTGGTGGTTAAGGGCACTGGACTCCCACATGGCTGAGCGCAGTTCAAGTCCCGAACTTGGTGGCTTACTTTCTCACTTTCCCTCTCTCTCTCTCTCTCACTCTATCCCACTCTCTAACTCTGTCCCTCTCTGGACAAATCTATATAAATAAATTTAAATAAAGTAATTCTTTTTTAAAAAGGAGGGGGGAGGAGTAGGGGCCAGCAGGTAGCATGGAGATTAAGGCAGCTGGGTCCCACATGGTCGCCTGCACAGGAATGATTTCTTTCTCTCATTCTTACTCTCTCTCCCCTCTTTCTTTCTCTCCTTCCAGCAAACACACATGCCTCATAACAAAACAAACTAATAAATAAACAAATAAACAAAAAGATAAAAGAAGTGAGTGGGTCCTGAGGGAGGACCCTCACGGAGGGATTCATGTTGTTATCGTGGGAGAGTCAGCACAAGAGCAGGCTATCATAGAGCAAGCCTGGCCTCCCCGTGCTCCCCTCTTACACACGCATTGTCCTTCTGCCTCTGCTGTGGGACAAGGACAATGGTGACCTGTCAGCCTTGGACTTCCCAGCCTCCAATATAGGAGCTAAATAAACCTTGATTCTTACTGGTTGTCGTTCATTGCCAGGGGTGTGTGTACCGGCCAGAGAGAGAGACTGAGAAAGAAAGAGGGAGAGGAAGAAAGCACCTCTCAATGGCTCATGGCCACACCTTAATCCCCTCTCCTCCATTTTTCCTTTCTCTCTGGATTTTGGGCATGTGTGCATGTGTACCCAGTATGATTTTAAAGTCACCAAGCCTGGGATTTGAACTGCAGTTGGCCATGGGGAATCCAACTCTCTTATCTACTACATTATGGGACCAGACCAACCACAATTTTTTATAAATTACTCAGACTGTGGTATTCGGTTACAGCAACAGAAAATAGACTAAGATACTGCCCACAGAGCACACAGTGACTGGGATCAAGGCAACGTTCACTTGGGAACAAGAGGGCCACAGCATCCCCATCCCCTACCTCCTCTCTTTGACCAGGGCCAAAAACACCCTGCCCCCCACTTTAGAGAGAAAAGCAGGGAGACAGGGAGACTGAGGAGCTGATTATTTTGTATCAAACTCTGTTACCCAGCCCAAAGAACTGTTTTCAATTATGGAATCAGATTAAATTTCAACCAAAAAAACATTGAATCTCCCCCTGCTGCTAAGTGGATGGCTGGGATTCACGAGGAAACTCAGGTTCATCATGCGCCTCTGTTCCCTCGGCAGCCCCCGACATGTGGTGGGAGAGCACTTTGCAATTCCCAGCACATACCTGAATCAAGAAAACAAATGTCTTGGACCAGCAGTTAGCGTAACGGCTATGTTGCTGGACTCCCATGTAGTTGACCGCGGTTCGCGTCCTGGACCCGGTGGCTTACTCAGACTGGGCACGTGTGTGTGCGTGCCCAAGATCCTGAGAGGAGAATGGAGGAGGAGGGATTGTGGCATGACCATCCCCCCTGGGGGGGTGATTTCTCGCTTTCTGTCTCTCTGTCTCTATCTCTCTGTCTGTCTGGCGAGCGCACACGCCCTATAGCAAAAACCTCTCAAAAAAAAAAAAAAAGAAAAGAAATGTCTCATTGAACATAGTTCAGTTGCCTTTCAAAGTCATCAATACAAATACAGTAATCGTCTTTAAAATACTTTCCAATGTATTTTCACTTTGAAACCAAGTCATAGGTCACCTGTGACTTGAAATACAAACAGGTTGTTAAGAAAATTTTCTGGCATCTTAGAAGTTTAAATGGCTGAAAGAGTCCACGAATTCAGCAGGGCAGGGAGGCCTGTGTGTGTACAAATAGACTGGTTTCTTTTTTTGAGAGAGATTTTTGCTATAATGGCACATGCACTCACCAGAGAGACAGAAAAAGAGAGATGGAAAGTGAAAAATTACCTTCCGGGGGGAAGACCACACCGCAATCCCTTCTCTCTACTCTCCTTCTGGGATTCTGGGCATGCACAAACATGTGCCTGGTGTGCGTTTCAAGCAACTGGGTCTGGGATTCAAACCATGGTCGGCCATGTGGGAGTCCAGCACCTTAACCACTATGCTACCTGTTAGCCCCCTTAGGTTTTTGCCATAGGACATTTATGCTTTCCAAAGAGAGACAGAGAGAGGGAAAGTGAGAAATCACCCCCCAGGAGGGATGACCACTCCATAATCCCTTCTCTTCCATTCTCATTTTGGGATTTTGGGAACGCACACACATACACCTGGTATGATTTTCAAAACACCAGGTCCACAACTCCAACCATGGTTGTCCATTTGGGAGCCCAGTGCCTTAACCACCATGCCACCTGCTGGCCACAAATAGGCTGACTTTTACAAATGACTAGCTTGGGGAGGGAAACTATTCAATTTAACTAAAGCTGAATCTTTAACTTTTAATGCACTATGACTCAGTACCCCGTAGATCCTTCTGCCTCTCTGATGGTTCATTTTTCTACCAGTTAAAGGCTGAACTCCTGCATGCATGTAAGATCTTCCCTATGATGTATTTCAAACAATTTGCAAAGCACTCCCTTCTGTGTAAGTTCTTTCTTTTTTTTTTTTGGAGAGGTTTTCGCTATAGGGCGCGTGCACCCGCCAGACAGACAGAGAGAGACATAGAGACAGAAAGTGAGAAATCACCCCCCAGAGGGGATGGTCACACCGCAATCCCTTCTCTTCCATTCTCCTCTCAGGATCTTGGGCACGCACACACATGCGCCTGGCGTGAGTTTTAAGCCACCGGGTCTGGGACGCGAATCGCGGTCAACTACGTGGGAGTCCAGTGACATAGCTATTACGCTAACTGCTGGTTCCCCTGTGTAAGTTCTTATACTGACTAAGGCAAGCCCACCATTTAATAAAGGAAAATGACCCCAACTGAGAGAAAGGCCCCTGACAATACCTCATCCAATCTGAAAGAGCATTTTATGTTGGAGAGACCCTGATTCACCTCACAGTTAAGAAGGAAGTATCCCAAATTAGGTTTTGTTCTCTGAGCTCTCTTGGCACTTCTGCACCCTGGTGCACTGTACAACCTTTCAACTTTTAAACTCCCTATATTAGTCAGGTATTTTTCTTAAACCACTGGATCTGGGACCCGAACCATCCAGGAACAGATGGCATGCCCAAATAGGATGATTTATAGAGGGTTTGTTTTCAAAGAAACTATCTGCAAACCTGTCTGCAGAGAACCAGCAGGAGTGACACACAAGCCTAGGCTGGTGGGGACAGAGTTAGTGGCACTTCCTAGGTCCAAATGGAAGGTGGGGAGAGTACGTTTGGGATGCCAGAAGGCTATGGGGAGCCGACTACCTGGAGCCAGGCAGTGAATTTTTCTTTTCTTTCTCTCTTTATTTTTTTTCTTTTCTTTCCTTTTGCTAGAGGGTGCATGCATGCATCAGAGAGAGAGAGAGAAGAGAAGGAGAGGAGAAAGCACTCCCCATGAAGGATGGTCACACTACAATCCCTTCTCCTTCATCTCCCCCTTCCTTCAAAATTTTAGGCACTCTGGCACATGTGCCAGGCATTTTTCTTAAACCATGGGATCTGGGACTTGAACCACATGGTTGACCACGTGGGATCTAGCTGCCTTAACCGTTAGGCCAGAGAGCAAGCCCACAAGCGTAAATTTTGGTAAGGAACAAGGTTAGACCAAGAGGAACTTGTTGGGACAAAGCCTTGGACTAAATACCTGTCTCCTTCCCCCCTCCCTCCCTCCAGTCCCCAGCCAGAGCTTCTCATTGACCAAAGCCCATAGAAAGCCCAAAGGCAAGAGGGCAGTGGAGGTCTGGCCCACAGGACAGCAGAAAGCAGAAGAGTGGGGAGAGAGCCAGGAAGGACAAAGAACACTGCTCTCCCTTAGAAGAAAAGTCTGTTTCAATAATACATACTTTTGTTTGCAGAGCAAATAACGTGAGCGCTAACGTCACCAGAGCGGTTGCTGCCGTTGCCCATAACACTTCGTCGGCCTTATAGAAACTAAAACCAGAGATTGCGATTATTGTTCACATAAGTTCAAAGAAAAGCACACACCAAGAAAGGAAATGTATAGCAAAGACTTACACTGACACCGCTCCTAGCAGCAGACCTTGAAGAATTGTCTAGAAACAAAATTCACAGTAAGTCAGACGCCTGATTCCCAAGGTATGAGGCTGAGACCCAGGGCCTGGGGAGGTAATCTGAGGTGTGTACAATGGGGCGGGGTCAAGGGAGCAAGCGCTGATATGGACACCCTGCTGCACACAGCTACCGGGTGATTATGGGGAAGATGGTAGAACTAAACATTCCGATAACGTTCTCCCTCGGACTAACAAAAAAAAATTGTTTTATTAGTAAAAATTTCCTAGAACACAATGGTAACGTCACCATATTCAGTGAATTAAATATGTATTAGTTATCAATGTATAGAAGCTGAGCTAAAAGTCTTATTTGTGGACCATGTTGTCAAACTTCAGACCTGGGGTGAGAACTAAGACTTCTCAGTGCTTGGCAATGGGCAAAAGGTATTCCCAGCAGAGCTGGAGATACCGATCTGGGGGTTGAGGGGAGGGCTGCACCAGGCCTGGAGGACTGCTATCATCTAAGGGGACTAGGGGCTGAGAACCAGCAGGGGTGGAGGCAGTCAGGAGGATGAGATTAAGAAAGGCACTGGGACCCTGCCCAGCCCAGCTCTCAGGCTTGAGAACTCCAGCCCTCAGAGCTGCAGGGCCTCCATGTATTCCACAGCCCGTAGGATTCTCCAATGGAGGCAAATCCAAAGACTTGGCTGGCCCTCTGGTCCATGGGAAGAGTCAGGCCAGATTCCTCCAGTCTTAGAGTGGAGGTGAGGACACAGCCTAAGGGAGGCCAAGGCCCACTAGAGGGACTTTCGCCTATCCTGGCGACCAGGGTGGGTGGGCTTGGAAGTTCAAAGGAACTGGAGCCCTGAAGTCCTGAATTGCCTTGCGAGAATGTCCAAACCCAGTGGGTAATTGTCCGACTTTCTATTTTGTCAAACTTACCTAAGTAGAGCTGTCTTTGTATCCATTATAGAAAAAGACCCTATCCCGTGGACGCGTGATAGTTTAAAAGTGTGCTTGGTTCCAACCTTCCTCTCAGATTAACTTGCTTCCTCTTCCACCAGCTCAGTGGCGTCATAGTGTCCAGCTCCAACAGACAGCACGGTGTGCGTGCGTGGTGTGTGTGGGTGCATGTGCGTGATGTGTGGTGTGAGCAGGGTGTGTGTGTGTGGTGTGTAGCAGGGTGTGTGACTGTGTGTGTGGTGTGTATGTGTGTGATTACGAAAGACTTGGAGGAGAGAGGGAGGGGGTGGAAGAATGAATGATTTCAAGCTGGAAATCACCTTTCCGTTGTCGTAAGGCAGAGTAGGAAGAAGCCCCAGAAGCCAAACCTGCCTAAACTTCATGGCTCAGAATATGGGCTCAAAGGGCCAAAATTCTAGGCCCAGAGCTGTCTTCGCTGCATGAGTGTCGTCCTTTTTCCCTCAACACCTTTTCTGAAATGATTTTCCCCGTGTATGTCCTAACACTTGGGCCAGACACGGTCTAGAAAATATAACGGATTCTTTGCCCTTCTATAATACTGGGTCGTTGGAAAAGTCATGACACATTTTGCACAGAAAACACAGAAAGGTACCTCATGACTTCTAAGATTACCCACTATCGCGTCTCTTCAGCTGTTACTGGCTTGGAGATAAACAGATAAATCTTGGAGATACGAGCTTCCTTGGAGACCAATAACTTCTATCTCTTATAATTAAGATTAAAACTATTTAGAAGTTTTAAATAAAAATTTTGAACATTTCTGGAAAACGAGCACCCCCTTCCTGCTCCCCTCCCCATTGCCCCTGCTTCAGGAGTTCCAGTACTTTCTAGGTCTGGCCTGTAGCTAGCTCCTGTCCCCTCCTGAGCGTGGTTTATCCTTTCGCCTGTTCAGGAGCTGGGACACCCATTTGTTGGCAGGGGCAAGGAGCAGGGAATCCACAGCAGCCAAGAAAAGCTTCTTGATGCCCTGGTAGCTCTGGAAATGTCCAAATGTGGGCAGCAGAGAGCCATTCTTCTCCAGCCTTAGGAGGAAGTCATTCCTCCAAACATAAAATCACAACGGACTCGGCATGATGTGGATGCTGAGAACCTCGCCATTGGACGTGTGTCCTTGCTTGTTTTGACCACCAGGAGGCGCAGAACCAAATCTAGGATCATTACTCTCAAGTGTACTTAATGTATTTTGTGCTCTAACCACTATTTTTATATTTTGACCCTATTTTTCTTCTATCAGATTTCTCCATCAATTTAACTTATCTTCTTATATGGTGGCTATTTTTATAAGCTACCTTGAATCTCATTTGGAGTTAAATGAAGAATAAGCCAATATATAAACTGGTAAGTTAATTTTTACATGGAAGAGTAAGTGATCGACATGGCTTGGAAGGAAACACAAACCCTTCCCAAAAGTCACTTGTTGAAATTATACTCAATCATACTAGTACAGTTTTGGATTTTTCCAAAGGAGCAAAACACCCTAGATATTACTACCGGAGAGCTTCAGAGGAACCAGGTCTCCAGGAAACGGAAGCATTGGCCTGACTTGTTAAGTGAGAGAAAGAAAGTCAGGGGTGGGGAAAGGACTCCTAGGTGCTGCTGGGTCCCTGAGGACGAGGTCCACCACCATCTGGAGAGGCAAGCCCTGTGGGTAAAACGATAGAACCTGAGATTCTACTCAGGTGGAGGAAGTCTGGGAGCTCCGGGTACCTGCTGAGAGCTGGCAACCTCCTGGGAGCCGCATGGGCAGCACAGAAAGGAACTGGCTTCAAGAAAGAGAGCCAACCAGTCTCCTGAGGCCCAGAGTCACACGGACCAACAGAGAATGGGCCTTGTGGGCGGAAGTCACCACAGAGAGGCACTGGGGAACCCAGAGCCAGACCCAGCATACATAGGAGAGCCAAGGAGCAGAAGCCCTCTGGACCCCAGCTCTCAGACACTGGCCAGTTCCTTCTGAACTGAGGCAAGTTGTGGAGATGCGGAGAACCTAAGCTCACAGACGGCTTCTGCTCCCAGTGGGACTTGACATAGAAATAACATTTATCTTACAATGAAAAAGAAACCTGCATTTCTGGCACACAACTGTGTGAACTTGAAGTCGAACCCTCTCTTGGTAACAGAGTGTGTGTGTGGTGCCTGACAGAGGCCCGGATTCGGGAGTGGGTTCTTGTGTGGCCTCATCAGAGGTAAGTGTGCTGACACTGAGGAACAGCTCACAATCCAGGGGCAGCCCACGAGCCCCAAATGCTCCTCCTTACTGAAAGAGTATAAACATTATTTCGTAAGTTTACTAGTGGGTTGTTGGGAAAGTCATAATGCATTTTGGCTAGCAAACTATGTCATGGCTTTTCTGACAACCTAATACTTCATTACGACTAGAATTCTGCCAATGGAATGTCTCATAATGAATTCCTATCTGCATTCTTCCACAGAAAAAGGAAGGAATTTAATAATGTCAAAAAACATACTTCAGATGTGAGCTAGAACAGGTGCTAACAAGGTTTACTTACAAAGAATCCCAGAAGAATGTAATTTGCAGGCACTTGACGGCGGAGATTCCCACAGCAAGCAAGTACAATAAGTACAACAAAAAACGCTGGGCTAGGGGAATGGAAGACAATGTGTTACTTGTTTCCAGCGATGATAACGTGATACATTAGATATGGGTGCATAGCTAGGTCCATATAGAGGTAGATGATAGCTGATAAATATTATTAAGTAAAACAAAAGTGTTAATCTTTACCTTTATCTCTCTGAACTCACCACAGAGACACAGAGACAGTGAGAGGGAAAGTGAGAACTCACCCTCTAGGGGGAGTGGCTTTCTCCTCCATCTTCCTCCTAGGATTTTGGGCACACACACACACACACACACACACACACACACACACCTGGTGTGATTTTCAAGCTGCGGGTTCCAGTACTTGAATTGTGGTTGGCCACATGGGAGTCCAGCACTTTAACTATGCCACCTGCTCACCCCTCTTTATTTTAACGTTTAAAATCAGCTTTCCTCATCGCTATCCATAGATAGTTTGTGGGGCTTTTTAGATTTTTTGTTTTGTAACAATTATAGATTCACAAGAAGTTGTAAAGGGACAGAGAGGACCCATGAAACTTTCACTTGGTTTCTCCTAATGATTATTCCATATGCTTTTCTTTTTCCTTTCAGTTTTTTAAAGTTTATTTGGTTATTTATTTAATGACAGTAGAAGAGAGACAGAGAAAGAGATAAGCACCTTTGGGCCAGCACATAGTGTAGGGGTTAAATTGCTGGACTTTCACATGGCTGACCAGCTTGAGTCCCAGAGCCCGTGGCTTGAAACTCATGTAGGGTGTGTGTCTTGTGTGCCCAAGATCCTGAGAGGAGAATGGAGGCGAGATTGAGGCATGGTCATCCCCCCTAGGGGGTGATTTCTCACTTTTCTCTCTGTCTCTCACTCTCTCTCTCTGAGAACATACGTACCCTTAGGCAAAAACCTCTCAAAAAAAAAAAAAGCACCCTTGGGACCAGCAGTTAGCGTAATGGCTATGTCGCTGGACTCCCATGTAGTCGACCGTGGTTCGAGTCCCGGACCCAGCAGCTTAAGCTCACGCCAGGCTTGTGTGCATGCATGCCCAAGATCCCAAGAGGAGAATGGAGGAGAAGGGATTGCGGCATGGCCATCCCCCCTGGGGGGTGATTTCTCGCTTTCTGTCTCTCTGTTTCTCTCTGTCTCTCTCTCTCTGGCAAGCGCACGCACCCTATAGTTTTTTTTCAAAAAAAAAAAAAAAAAAAAAGCACCCTCAGCAGGATCTCATGCCCTAAATCCTCCTCCAAACCTTCCCAGACAGCCAGGAGCACAGGCACGTACGCATGCACCTGGCATGTACAGTCAACCTGGGAACTCAACCCGGTTTCCATATGGCTTCCAGTACTGCAGAGTGCCATGCTACCATGGTGCTACTGCAGCCGGGCCATTGTTCAGTGTACAATACCAAAACAAGTAACTTGACGTTGCTATAGTGTTTATATATATATATATTTCCCATGTCATAGAACTATGACACAGATATGTGTAACCGCCACCACAATCAAGACTCAAAACTATCCCATTAATAAAACATCGACAAAAACCTCCTTCATGCTAGCCCTTTACAGAAACACTCATTCCCATATACTCAACCTTAATTCCTGACAACCATATGCTTGCTGGAGACAGAGAGAAGGCAAGTAAGAAATCAACCCCCAGGGGGATGGCCACACTGCATTCTCTTCTCCACTCTCCTCTCAGGATTTTGGCCACGTGTGCATGGGCACTGGCGTGATTTTCGAGCCACTGGGTCCAGAACTTGAATTGTGGTAAGCCATGTGAGAATCCAGCACCTTAACGACCATGTCACCTGCTGGCCCCACCTTAACCTCATTTTTCATAGTAAAAGAACCTCAGTCAATAACTAGTAGAACTAGTAGAATTTAATCATGTTTTATTAAATCCAGTGATACTTACAAGAGCGCATAGGTGAACCAGGAGTTTGCAAGTACCCAAGTCCTTAAATCATTCCTGGTTAAAAAAATAATAATAATATAGTTTTACACAATAAATAGTATATTTTGCTAACCAATGTAACATTTAAGTAGAATTAAAATAACATCATGAGAAGAAAGAGGGAAATCCTAGATGACTAATGATGATATTAATAGATGGAGAATAAGATGGTAAAATATACTTCTTTAAAATAAATATAAAATGATATAATAAGTTGTAAGTTCAATTTGGATAAATGCAAATAACCTAATGAAATTTTTATTTAAAAAAATACTAAGGATGAGGGGCTGACAGGTTGCGTAGTAGTTAAAGGCACTGGACTCCCACATAGCCGACTACAGTTCGAGTCCTGGACCTGGTGACTTACTTTCGCACTTTCCCTCTCTCCGTTTGTCTGTCTCTGGTCAAATTTTTAAAAATAGTAATAATAAATAAAGTTGAATAAAGTAATTCTTTAAAAAAAATGCTAAGAGAGGGGCCAGCAGGTGGCATGGTGGTGAAGGGTGCTGGACTCCCACATGGGCAACCACAGTTCAGGTCCTGAACCTGGTGGCTTGCTTTCTCACTTTCTTCTCTCGCTCTTTCTCTGGTCAAAATAAGTAAATAAAGCTAAGAAAAAAAAAATTTTAATTTAAAAAAGCTAAGAGTGTTTTGTACAAAACAAAAAGAAGTCAAGCTCTCATACATCTGTTTCATAAATAAAAATTTTTATAAGATACATTCAGCAGTGATGAATCATAGCCCTTCAAATAGTTTCTAAATTTAACAGATTTCCAGTCTCTAACTTCTCCATAATCTTGCCTGTTTTCCTTTATCCAATTTCATCTGTGGCGATACCTTAGGGCAAATAAAAGAAAAAAGATCATAATACCTAAAATAATAGTGAGGAAAAGAAATTCTTTGTTTACGGAGTTAAATTAGGGAAATCTATAACTACCTTGTCTAGCAGTTGCATCAGAAAAATAAAGCTACCGAAAATATTATATCCTATGAGTAATTAATAAAAAAAAATCTTTTATTTAAAGAATTATTTTATTTAACTTTATTTTTATGTTAATTTGACCAGAGAGTGAGACAGCAAGAGAGAGAGAGATGGAAAGTGAAAAAGCAAGTTGCCAGGTCCAGGACTCAAACCGCGGTTGGCCATATGGGAATCCAGTGCCTTTAACCACAACATCACCTGTTGGCTCCAGAGATAATCTTTTTTAATGATCAAAATTAAATCAAGCTGAGGGTCCAGCAGGTGGCATGGTGGTTAAAGTACTGGACTCCCACATGGATGACCACAATTTGAGTCCCAGACATGACAGCTTGCTCTCTCTCTCTCTCTCTCTTTGTTTCTCTCTGACTCTTTCTGGTCAGATTAAATAATAATAATAATAAATAAATAAAATTAAATAAATAACTCTTTAAAAAAATTAAATCAAGCTGATTCAGTAAGAATTAGCATGGAGGCCAGCAGGTGGCGGGGTGGATTTAGGCATTGCATTCCCACATGGTCAATTGTGATTTGAGTCTTGGACCTGGCAGCTTGCTTTCTCGCTTTCCCTTTCTCTCTCTGTCTCTCTCTGGTCAAATTAAAAAATAATAACAAGTGGAATTAAAGAAATTATTATAAAAAATTAGTATGAGCAACTTAACCCTTCATTCTACATCAGTTATCAAGACTTATCAGAAAACCAGGACTAGCAGATAGCATAATGGTTACGTCGCTGGACTCCTACATAGTCGACTCTTATGTAGTTGACTGAGCTCCGGACCTGGTAACTTAAAATTCATGCCCAGTGATGAGCATGCCGAAGATCCCAAGGGTAGAATGAAGGAGAGGGTGTGGTCCATTCCCTGGGGAGTGATTTCTCACTTTCTGTCTCTCTGTCTCTCTCTCCAGCAAGTGCACACACCCTATGGCAAAAATCTCTCTCAAAAAAAAAAAAAAAGACTTACCAGAAAACAAACATGCTGATAATTGCCGCAGTGACCAGCAACTGAAGTGATAGGATGAGGAACACTTTTGTAATGAAAGCTGAGGAGACAGGTACATTATTTTTATGACACAATATTCAAAAAAATATATATAAATGTAATTATTTTTGATACTTCATGAAAGGAATTTTTCTTCTGATATTTTGAAGATGTTAAAAGCAGTAAGTGCAGGAACCAGCAGTTAGCATAATGGCTATGTCGCTGGACTCCCACGTAGTCGACCGCGGTTCGCGTCCCGTACCCAGTGGCTTAAAACTCACGCTGGGTGTGTGTGCGTGCGTGCCCAAGATCCTGAGAGGAGAATGGAGGAGAAGGGATTGCGGCATGACCATCCCCCCTGGGGGGTGATTTCTTGCTTTCTGTCTCTAATGTCTCTCTCTGTCTGTCTGGCGAGCACACGTGCCCTATAGCGAAAATCTCTCCAAAACAAACAAACACACACACACACACACACAAAAAAAAAAACAGTAAGCACTAGTTTACAGTCAGCAAATGGAAGAACAACCCAAATACATACTATGGAACTTCTATGAGTACTCAACCCAGATTGTCAGGAGGGCTTATCTGCTGAAGCTCTAAAACGTTAAAGACAAACTGGGAGGCACAATTCCTTATTATGCACACTCTGTCCTCCTTAGGACCCCAGATGACCTGAGAGTCTCCGGATCTTGCAGGCATCCTTAAAGATCCAGCTATCACCCTGCACACCATGGGAACAGCAATGCTCAGGGGCTGCTGTGTATTTACACGGGTATTTACACCTCTGGAGTGGGCTCGGGCTGCAGAGAGCTTGCAGTGCTTTCCCACCCCTTTTCTCTGCAGCCTGCCTGTCCTTAGGTAGCCTTCCTTTCTAGTTATTGATGCAGAAACTAGATAACTCGATGAATTATACTTCAGACCAAAGACTTCCAAGTGAAGCATGTGACAGCCCAGTGCACAGAAGGTCGGCACTTTTTCTTACTTACTGCACAGGTTTTCCTAGCCCCTCTGAATATGGCACTGACAATGACAATTTACTTTTTTTTTTTAAAATGACTTTTCCCATTTACAAAGGAAAAAACAAAATGAAATAACACCACTTAAAATTAACTTAAAGGATCGTCGACTCTATTCTTTTGCTCTGCAGTTTCTGTGTGTAGAAGTGTTACGATAGAGGAATGGGACTGAGCTGTCTCAGTCAAAACACCAGAACAGTTATCCCAAAATGTGTGCTGTCTACGTTGAAGTGTTCATTTACCTCTGTGGCAGGGACTATGAGGGAATCAATATTAAAGGTGATCAGGACTAATAAGGGTAAATAGAGATCAGTGGAATAGAGCTGAAAGCTCTGAAATAAACCCTTACATTTAGTCCATTTTTTTTTTTTAATGCCAGAATGCACACACGCACATCAGAAAGAGAAAAACACGCTCCAATGGGGCCTGATCACACTGCAATGCTGTGTTCTCCATTTCTCCTTCCTGTCAGGATCCTGGCCACACGTGCATGGGATCCTGTTTATTTTTCAAGCTGCCAGGACCAGATTTGAATGCAGCTGGCAATGCAGGATCCGGCTCCCTCCACAAAGTGCTTAACCGTTGCACTATGGGGCTGGCCCTATCGTCAACAATTTTTTTTAAATGTGCCAGAACAGCGGCTGGCTCCATGGCCTACTGGTTAAGGGAGCTGGATCCCACATGGCTGACCATACCATTTGAATCCTAGCCCAGGAAGCTTGAAAAACATGTGGGGCATATGTGCATGCTTACTCAATAGCCCAACAGGGTGGAGAAATAGCGGAGAAAGAGTTGCAGTGTGACCACACCTCACTAGGGGGTACTTTCTCCCTCTCCTCTATTTCTCTGTCTCTGGAAACCACATGGGCCCTCTGGCAAAAAAAAAAAAAAAAAGTGCCAAAACAATTCATGAGAAAAGAATAGTCTTTCAACAAATGGCACTAGGACATCTGTCTACATATCTATCATCATCATATTCATAGATGATGAATGGATGAATGCTATACATAAAAGAATAACTAAAAATGGATCATAGATATAAATATTTTTCTTGGAAGAAAGCATAGGGAAAAGCCTTTGTAAGCATTGATTAGACAGTGATTTCTGAGATATGACAAAAATTGTGGAACAAAACAAACAGATAAATTGGACTTTGTCCAAAAAAAAGCCTTTGCGCTTCAAACAACATCAGAAAGTGAAAGAAACTCCACAAAGGGTTTTCCAATAAGGGACTTTCTGATAAGGAACTTAACATCCAGAATACATAAAGAATTCTTCTGTTTTAGAATTATTTTTATTTAATTTTATTTATTCATTCATTTACTTTACTTTGACCAGAGAGAGAGAGAGAGAGAAAGTGAGAAAGCAAGTCACCAGGTCTGGGACTTGAACCGTGGTTGGTCATATGGGAGTGTCCAGTCCCTTAACCACCACACTACCTGCTGGTCACATAAAGAACTCTTAAAACTTAATAATAAACAGACAAATAGCATCATTAAAAATTGGTAAAGCTGGAGCCCACAAGTGGAATGGTGGTTGAGGCGGCTGGACTCCCACAAATCTGACCATGGTTTGAGTTCCAGACCTGGTGGCTTGCTTTCTTACAACCTCCCCACCCAGTCTCTCTCTGATCAAATAAAAATAAATAAATAAATAAAGTTAAATAAATAATTCTTTTTAAAAAATTGGTAAAGTGGAGCCAGCAAGTGGTGTGGTAGTTAAGGTGCTGGACACTTCCACATAGCTGACCATGATTCGAGTCCCAGACCTTGTGGCTTGCTTTCTCACTTTCCCTCTCTCTCTCACTCTCTGTCTCTCTCTGGTCAAAATAAAATAAATGGATAAATAAATAATATTAAATACATGATTTTTAAAAATTGATAAAGCTTAGGCAATGCCCTCCCACATTGACTCTGGGCTTAACCACATGACTTGCTTTAGCCAATGGGACATTTGCATGTGGGAAGCAAGCAGAGGCTTGATAAACCACTTGTCCATCTGGTATACTTCTTGGGACCCAGCTACCATGCAGTGAGAAGTTCAAGCCACAAGAAGAGAGTCAATAACCAATATCAACTGCGAGCCACGTCAGGGAGTTGTAATGGCCCTGACAGAGCCTCTGCATCTCTGATGATGACTGTGAGAGATCCCAGTCAATACCAGCATAAGAACTGCCCAACTGAGCCCATTCAACCCACAGAATCAGGAGAAATAATAAAATGGTCATGTTTTTTAAAAGTGGGTAAAGCATTTGAATAGATATTTCTCCAAAGAAGACACATGAATGGCCAATAAGCATGTGAAAAAATGTTCAACATTATAATTCACTTAGGTATTGCAAACCAAAACTACTTAACCCACAGAACGGCTATAATTAAAAAAACAAGTGTTGGCAAAGGTGCAGAGAAACAGGAACCCTCAAACACAGCTGGTTGGAATGGAAAATGGTGTAGCCAGTTTGGGAAAATTTGGCAGTTCTTCAAAATATGAAATATATTTATCATACAGTTCAGTAATTCCTAAGTATCTACTTAAAGGAAATGAAAACATGTCTACACAAAACTTTATATATGAATGCTGATTACAGCATTATTCATAATAACCCAATGCTGAAAGGAGAATGGAAAAGGGATTGCAGTGTGGCTACTCCCTCTGGGGGGTGATTTCTCACTTTCCCTCTCTCTATGTCTGTCTCTGGCAAGTGCGTGCACCCTATGGCAAAAACCTAAAAAAAAAAAAAAGTACTCCCCATTCTCATAACTCTTAATCCAATACTTTGCTACATACCTTTTCTTTTTTCCACAGCACTTTCATCTTCTTATATACTATAATTAATTTATTTAATATTACACTTATTCACATATCTTTAGTGTCTAACATTTCTTTTTTCAGCATGACTACCATGCATATAGTCAAAACAAAGACATTATACACATATACTATAATTTTTAAGACAATTATTTAACTTTATTTATTTATTTATTTATTTATTTATTCTAATCTGACCAGAGAGGGACAGAGTGAGCAGGATGGGAATATGAGAAAGCTAGACGCCTAAAACTAAAAACTAAAAATGATTCAAGCCACGGTCAGCCATGTGCTCACTGGAGAGAGAGACAGAGACAGAGACAGAAAGTGAGAAATCACCCCCCAGGGAGGATGGCCACACCACATTCTTCTCCTCCGTTCTCCTCTCGGGATCTTGGACATGCACGCACCTGCACCCAATGTGAGTTTTAAGCTGCCGGGTCCAGGACTCAAACCACGGTCAACTACATGGGAGTCTAGTGACATAACCATTAGGGCATCTGCTGGCCCCCAGTTTTTTAGATTTATATCACTCACTGCAGAATGTATTTCCTGACTTACACCGAATTAATATCTGGAACATTGAGTTAATATTTTAAAATAATTATGTAATTTTTATTCATTATTATTATTTTTTAATTTGACCAGAGAGAGAGAAAGGGGAAGCAAGAAAGCAACACATCAGGTCAAGAACTCGAACTGCATTCAGCCACATGGAAGTACAGCACCTTAACCACCATGCCACCTCCTGGTGCCAAGTTATTATTTTTAAAAACTAAGGTATTGCCTTATATGTAGGTGAGAACATTTTACAATCAATGGCTAATTTATATTTCCTAGTTAAAAACAAAAGTCATTCACCACATAACTTTACAAAGTTCCTGAATGTCTTAGACAGCTTGGAGGCAGTCTATAATAGCAGCCTTACAGTATGCATCATGATAAACAATAGCTGTGAAAAACTAAAAACAAAATCAAATCTTTCTAAAAACAAAATGATGTCTTTCCAATAATCCCCTATACAGAAACATTTAAGAGAACATTTGTTTTGCTCTTCCAAAAAGCTAAAATCTTTGTTCTTACCTCTGCGGATAGATGTGTCTGAGAATGGACTGGCTAAATTAGCTGCACTGCTGGCTTCTGGGGTGGTGTCATCTGAAACTTGTACCACGTAGGTATCCGCTCGCTCACTAGCCTTTGAGTGTGGATTCCCCTTCATGTTTTGTGACTCACTTGAAGTTGATTCTGAGGAGAGCTCACCAGATTTGGAATGGATGTTTCTACCTGCGACTTTCCGAACCAGATGTTGATGATCTCCAGAACTAAAGTCTATTGGTTCGCTGATCTCCACATCGATTTTCCTGGAGGAGGAGAATTGTTATTTATGCCCTTGTGATCATGCCTTTACAGCTTTAGCACTTTCATCACATTCAGATGATTTCTTTTTTCTTTATTGCAACTGCCTTGGTTCAGTGCTTACTGAGTTGATGATTAATAAATATGTGTTAAATAAATAACAAATACACACACACACACGTTTATCCATTTTGGTTTTTGTTTTTTTTCTTTAAATTTTTGGTATAGGGTATATACACTTTCAAGAGACAGAAACAAAGTGAGAAAGCGCTCCCCAGGAGGGACAGCCATGCCACAATCTATTCTCTTCTTGGGATTTTGGGCACACATACACACATGCCCAGCATGTTTTTCCAAGCTTCTGGGTATAGGACTCAAATCATGCAATTGGCCATGTGAGATATGGCTGCCTTAACTTCCACACCATCTGTTGGCCCAAACAAATACTTGAAAGATGAGGCCTATAGAGCAACATCATTTGCATTCTATTATAAAATTACTATTTTTATAAACTCATTTAGCAATGAGTTAATGACTCCAAGCAACATGGAACTGCCCTTGTCATCTCTGCCTTTGTCATCTCTGGCCTCGAGGTGCTTACATTTTGGAAGAGAAAATAATCAGACAAGAAATACTATAAAAGCCAATATAAGCAGGCCAGGAATATTGAAGGATGCTACAAAAACTCTCAACAAAGTCTGAAGGAATATTCAGGGAGTAGAAAAGGTTGACAAAAACTAGAGAAAGTGAGTTTTTTTTTTTTTTTTTTTTTAGAGGTTTTTGCTTTAGGGCAATGCACTCGCCAGAAAGACAGAGAGACAGAGAGATAGAAAGTGAGAAATCACCCCCCAGGGGGATGGCCACGCCGCAATCCCTTCTCCCATTCTCCTCTCGGGATCTTGGACATGCACACACATGTGTCCAGCATGAGTTCAAGTCACCAGGTCTGAGACTTGAACCGCGGTCAACTACCAGGGAGTTCAGCGACATAGCCATTACGCTAAATGCTGGTCCCAAGAAAGTGAGTTTTAAGCCAAGGCTGGAAGCTGGGTAGGAGTTACTCAAGTGAAGAGGTAGGGAGAGTTTTCCCAGGCAGAGAACCAGCCTGAGCCAGGACTAAAAGAAGCAGAGAGGGCAGATTCCAGAAACCAAAAGTTCAGAGTGTAAATGGTAGAATGGTATGAGGTTAGACAGAGGGCAATGCGAGCATATCTGGGGCACAGGATGGCAAGCCCAGTTACGGCATCGGGATTCCATCTTGAACATCATAGGTGTGTAGGCAAAATAGCAGTCTCCCAGTGATAGCCCCGTGTTGATCCTAGGAACCTGTGAATATGCCACCTTGCATGCCAGAAGGAACACTGAAAATGTGACGAGATTCTTTTGAGATGGGGAGATGATCCTGGATGATCTGAGTGGGCCCAATGAAATCACAGGGGTTCTTATCAGATTTATTAAAGGCAGGAGGGGTGGAGGCAGAGGAGATGTGACAATGGAAGCAGAAATCAGGGTGATACCATTGTTTTCTGTGGAGATGGCAGGAAGAGGGCCAACAAATGTGAGTGGCCTCTAGAAGATGGAAAAGGTAAGGAAATGGATTTTCCCTAGGACTTGTAGAAAGAAATGCAGCCCTGCTGACATTTTTCATTTTTGTGCAGGGAAACTGATTTTGGAATTCTGACCTCCAAAACTGTAAGATAAATAAATTTGTGTTACGGTATTAACTGTGTGGTACTATGTAACAGCAGCAAAATAAAATTTTTTATTTTTTTTTATAACTTTTTTAAAGATTTATTTATTTATTTCTATTTGTTATTATTATTTCTTCATTTGACCAGGCAGAGACAGAGAGAGAGAGAGAGAAAGTAAGCCACCAGGTCTGAGACTCGAACCACAGTTGGCCATGTGGGAATCCAGCGCCTTTAACCACCATGCCACCAGCTGGCCCCAAAATAAATTAATGCAATGGGGACTCACTGAAGGCTTCATAGTGGGGGACCATGGGAGTCTGACTAGAAAGATACTTTAGGTAGTGTAGAGAATGAGCTAAAGCAGGCCAAAGTGGGAACAGAGACCAGAAATCCGGAGAAGAGATGACAGTGCATGGCAGCCAGAACGCTGTTCTTAGGAAGCCACTACGAATGGACCAAAAATGGCCAATTTCATGAGGAACATGAAGACTAGGGAAAGCTCCCTTCTGCTAGCTTCTTGTCCCACAAAGAGAGTCACAGAGGAGTATAAGGAGGAGACTGCAAAGATGGCAAAGACTGCAGCAGACTGAAGGCCTACCGGGGATGGTGTACATAGAGGGTCTGAACAACAGAGCGAGCTTTTGGAGTGGCAGATACAGTTTGGTAAAGATGTCCCTCCTCCTCAAATTGATCTCTAAGATGCATGAAACTCACTGGCATTATTTTCAGTACTTGAAAATGTAACTCTAGTGTTCAACAGAAAGAATAAATATGTGAAAATAATCAAGAAAAAATTGAAAGAGATGTACTATGGGAGGCTAGTGATTTACTTTATCAGAAATTGAAATATCTTAAAGAAGTTGTATAATTAAGACTGTGTTGGGAACCAGCAGTTAGCGTAAAGGCTATGTCGCTGGACTCCCACATAGTCGACCGCAGTTCGAGTCCCGGACCCGGTGGCTTAAAACTCAAGCAGGGCGCGTGTGCGTGCGTGCCCAAAATCCTGAGAGGAGAATGGAGGAGAAGGGATTGCGGTGTGGCCATCCCCCTGGGGGGTGATTTCTCACTTTCTGTCTGTCTGTCTCTGTCTTTCTGGTGAGCACACGCGCTCTATAACAAAAACCTCTCCAAAAAAAATAAAAAGACTGTGTTGCCAGCATGGCAATAGATAAACGTATCAAAGAGAAGGAAGAGATTCGAGAAGCAGACTTATATATATATATATAATTTAATAATTAATAAAGGTTATTTCTTCATTTGACCAGGCAGAGACAGAGAGAGAGAGAGAGAAAGTAAGCCACCAGGTCTGAGACTCGAACCACAGTTGGCCATGTGGGAATCCAGCGCCTTTAACCACCATGCCACCAGCTGGCCCCAAAATAAATTAATGCAATGGGGACTCACTGAAGGCTTCATAGTGGGGGACCATGGGAGTCTGACTAGAAAGATACTTTAGGTAGTGTAGAGAATGAGCTAAAGCAGGCCAAAGTGGGAACAGAGACCAGAAATCCGGAGAAGAGATGACAGTGCATGGCAGCCAGAACGCTGTTCTTAGGAAGCCACTACGAATGGACCAAAAATGGCCAATTTCATGAGGAACATGAAGACTAGGGAAAGCTCCCTTCTGCTAGCTTCTTGTCCCACAAAGAGAGTCACAGAGGAGTATAAGGAGGAGACTGCAAAGATGGCAAAGACTGCAGCAGACTGAAGGCCTACCGGGGATGGTGTACATAGAGGGTCTGAACAACAGAGCGAGCTTTTGGAGTGGCAGATACAGTTTGGTAAAGATGTCCCTCCTCCTCAAATTGATCTCTAAGATGCATGAAACTCACTGGCATTATTTTCAGTACTTGAAAATGTAACTCTAGTGTTCAACAGAAAGAATAAATATGTGAAAATAATCAAGAAAAAATTGAAAGAGATGTACTATGGGAGGCTAGTGATTTACTTTATCAGAAATTGAAATATCTTAAAGAAGTTGTATAATTAAGACTGTGTTGGGAACCAGCAGTTAGCGTAAAGGCTATGTCGCTGGACTCCCACATAGTCGACCGCAGTTCGAGTCCCGGACCCGGTGGCTTAAAACTCAAGCAGGGCGCGTGTGCGTGCGTGCCCAAAATCCTGAGAGGAGAATGGAGGAGAAGGGATTGCGGTGTGGCCATCCCCCTGGGGGGTGATTTCTCACTTTCTGTCTGTCTGTCTCTGTCTTTCTGGTGAGCACACGCGCTCTATAACAAAAACCTCTCCAAAAAAAATAAAAAGACTGTGTTGCCAGCATGGCAATAGATAAACGTATCAAAGAGAAGGAAGAGATTCGAGAAGCAGACTTATATATATATATAATTTAATAATTAATAAAGGTACAAATACAAATTATTATCCCATAGTGTTGGAATGATTAGCTAATAGCTGGAAAACAAAATAAAATTTAATAGCTATTTTGCATCTTATATGAAAAATGAATTTCAGATGAATTAAAGATATTATCATAACAATGGTAATGGATTTTCTACAATAAAATGTGAGGAATAATTGTGTAAATCTTTGTAACAATGATACCATAAAAGGAATGGTTAGCAGATTTGGGATACAGAAACACTTTAGACACTATTACAAAAGAATATGAATAAATCCGAACACAAAGCTGTTAAAATATTACGTGTAGTTTTTTTTTAATAGTTATTTTATTTAGCTATTTATTTATTTCAATTTGACCCAAGAGGGACAGAGCAAGAGGGAGAGAGAGAGAGAGAGCAATCCACCAGGTCTGGGACTCAAATCACAGTTGGCCATGTTGGAATCTAGTGCTCTCAACCACCATGCCACCTGCCAGCCTCATAGTTGTAGTATTTTTTAAAAATTCATTTTTGTTTTTGTATTTTTTAGAGAGATTTTTGCTGTAGGTTTAAGCCACTAGGTCCAGGACTTGAACCATGGCTGACTGTGGGAGTCCAATGACGTAACAATTATGCCATTTGCCGGCCCCTCTTAAAAAGTGTTTTTTATTTTTTGTTAAAGACAGAGAGAGAGAGTGAGAAATCACTCTCTGAGGGAGATGGCAACACTACAATCCTCTTCTTCATTCTCCTCTCGGGATTTTGGGCATGCATGTATACACACACAGTATGTTATTCAAACCACTGGGTTCAGGACTCGAATCACAGTCAGCCATGGAGGATCCAGCTGCAATAATCAGCACGCCACCTGGTGGCTCCAACAATTGCAACATATATAGCTCCCCCTTATCTTTGGTTTTACTTTTTGAAATTTTAGTTATCTACTGTCAACTGCAGTTTGAAAATTGCAGATATAAACTATTTCTAAGTTTTTAATTACACACTACTCTGAGTAGTGTGATGAAGTCTTGCACTATTCTGCTCCATCCCACCTGGGATGTGAATCATCCCTCTGTGCAGGATATCCACACCATATCTGTTACCCACTCATTTGTCACTTAGTAGCCAACTCGGTTATCAGACCAAAAAGACAGTATATATTGTTTGATATTATCCATGGTTTCAGGTACACACTGGGGGTCTTGGAATGAGTCCCGCATGGATAAAGGAGGATTATAGTACTGTAAAGAGAACTTTAATTGGTCTAGCACGTGGGGTGGTAGAGGAGCTGGACTCCCGTATGTCTGACCATGTTTCGAGTCCTGGACCTGGTGGCTTGAGAATCATGCTGGCTTGGTGGTTAAGGAGCTGGATCTCACATGGCCAATCACATAGTTCAAGTTCCAGACCCAGAGCCTTGAAAAACACACAAGGTATGTGTGCATACGTGCCTAAAATCTCTAAAGGAAGAAGAGAAAGGAGAAGGGATTACAGTGTGACCATTCTGCATGGATGCTTTCTTCTCTTCTCTCTCTCTCTCTCTGTCTCTCCCTGGCAAGCACATGTACCCTCTGGCAAAATTTAAAAACAAATGAACCAACCAATAGTGAAATGACTTTTTTTTTTTTTTTTTGCATAAAAGCCCAGTAAAGGTTAAAAACATCATTCGTAAAGTTGCAAAGGTATGAAAAATAGATAACCCAGGGTCACATTTTAATTTGCATGGGCCCTACACGTTTGCCCTCATAAGTTCTCTCCTCCAAAGTAAATACTAAAAATGATATTTTATGACTGCATTGGTATGAAGTGCAGTCCGAATTCACAGGCTATATCATATATTTATTGTTATATTAAAATTTTCCTACTTTTAAAAGCAATTTAAATATATTTATGGCTCCTAAAATTAACATGGGCCCTTCACCCTGTGCTTTTAAAGAATTATTTATTTAATTCTATTTATCATTATTCTCATTCTTCAGCTTGCTACAGGGAATGTGTGTTCACCAGAAAGAGGGGGAGGGGAATGAGAAAGCAAGTCACCAGGTCCAGGACTCGAACTGCAATTGGCCATGTGGGAGTCCAGCGCCTTAACCACCATGCCACCAGCTGGCCCTGGCCCTGTGGTTTTTGTGCCTTATGGTTAAGTCAGGCCTGGTATACCTCACAGGACTGAGGTTTTGGGGGATGGGGAAAAAAGAAGATTAAGCAACATCAGTCAGAATTAAAAATGCTCATTACTTTAGACCCAACATTGACATGTTTAGGAATATATTCCATAAACATACTCACACAAATAGGCAAAGCCACAAGAATAAGGAAGTTCATTACACTGTTCATTATTTGTAACTGCAAAAGCTTTAAACTATCTAAGGATCCATCAGCTGAAGTTAGTTAAATTAATTTTGGCACAGAAAAAGGCAGCTATCTATGACTTGATGTGGAACGTTTATTATGATATACTTTTGAATTTAAAAAGTAAGATTAATGAATAATACTTAATAAGATAACATTATTTTTTAAAGAATTATTTTATTTAGCTTTATTTATTTTAATTTGAATGGAAAGGGACAGAAAGAGAGAGAGAGACAAAGTGAGAAAAAAAAGCTGCCAGGCCCAAGACTTGAACTGCAGTCGGCCATGTGGAAGACAAGCGCCCTTAACCACCATGCCACCTGCTGGCCCCAACATTGTTTTTTACATACCTACAATTAACACACTTCCAAAGACTGGAAAAATATTCTGCAAACTTACATGTCTACCTCTAACACAGCAGAGTTGGAGAATATACTCTAAATTGTATGGACTTGCAATGAACATTTATTACTTATATAATAACAAAAATAAATTACATTTTGAAGAGAAAAATACTGTGTTTCTCTTCTAGATAAAGTCTGGAGTTCCTCTGAGTTAAAGCAGTCTCCAAATAAAGCCGAAAAGCATTGAAATATGCTCAAATAACCAGTTTGTTTCTTCCCCACAATCCCGCAGATCAGAAAGGGAGATTTTCAAAGCTCATAAAATTAATTAATTAATTAAAAAATAAAAACCAAGGCAATTGAGTTTTTCTCATGAACCTACGTTTGCCTGGTGAGTGAATCACAAAGTGAGGGTTTCCCTGGTCCTCAAAAAACTCTCCAGCTCCTGAGCCAGCAGTCATCCCAAGGTCAGGCAGATGCTGGGACTAAGAAGCAAAGTTCTGAGCGACAGTTGGACAAGTGGCAGTTGGAACATGGAATGGGCTGGGGAGCCCATTGCCCAAGAGAGGGGCTCTGAGTCAAACCCAAAATGCCAAGCCTTTGTACAGGTCAAACGGCCATGTCAAGGCACTCTGTGCTGAGTCTCAAGGAGGCCTACACCTGAGTCTCCAAACCCAGTCCAGGTAGGGAGCAAGAAGCTACCTGAGGACATGGTGTCCTACAATAATGTCATCACTTTCTCCCAAGCAAGAGGAAGATGCTCATGAAACTCCACTGGGGAACTTGTCAAAGACCTGACACATATTTTTCAAATAAGACTCATTTATACTAAGTAGGCCTTGGTTTTTCTGAGGGACAATGACAATGCTGGTCTCTTCCCACTCTACAGAGAGATTACTACCTCGTGGCTACAGGCTGATGAAGAGCCTTGAGAGGCACAATTCAGGCTACTTGGTGAGAGAAGTCAGATGACTTGCTGGAGGGCAGCTAGGAAGAGCCCCTCTTCCCTGGGATTTCTAGTTAGAGAGGGAAATGGGAGTAGAAACTTGTCCTGAGTGGATGTTGTTGCTGAGAAAAGCTGATCGGCATACTAACTCACTCCCTAACTGCTAATCAGTGTGTGGTTACTATGTGCAAGGAGTGGGGAAGTGGGAGAAAGACGAAGAAGAAAAAGACATTCTTCCTCAAGATGCTCATAGTCAAAGAAGACATGGGTACAAAAGTGTGTACTAAGACGGAAGGAGGGGCCCAGCCTGTGGTGCAGCCTGTAGGGTAGCATGCTAGACTAGGAGCTGCAAGTAACATGCTGACCGGTTCAAGTCCAAGGCCCCATTGGCCTGAAAAGACACAGGGTGTGTGCAAGCATGCTCAGGATCTTGGTAGGTTAGAGGACTGTGGGAAGGCGATGATGGTGTGACCGAGTCCCATGGAGAGTGTCTCTCTCTCCCCCGCCCCTCACGTGTGTGCACATGCTTTATCATAGATATGAAAAAAAGGGGGGAAGAGCCATAGAAAGGAACAGCTATCTATTATTATTATTATATCATTATTATTTTAGAGGTTTTTGCTATATAGTGCATACACTCAGTGGGGAGAGAGAGACTGAATGCAAGAAATCACTCCCATGGGGGTTGGCCTCATTGCAATCCCTTCTCCATTTTCTTCTCAAGATCTTGGGCATGCATACACATGGGTTCAGTGTCAATTTCTTAAGCCACCCAGTCCGGGACTCAATTAGATGGGTTCAGTGTGAATTTCTTAAGCCACCCAGTCCGGGACTCAATCGACAGTCAACTACCTGGGAGTCCAGCGACGTAACCACTATACCATCTGCTGGTCCCAAGGAACAGCTATTTAGAGTCAGAGAACTGGGAAAAGGACATGTGACTTTTGGCCTGGATTTGAGCTATTCTCAAAAGACAGTTGGGGTCAGACGTGAAGTGTGAAGTGTTAGAAGGTAGCACATTCCAGGCAGAGAGCACACTGAGCCACGGTACAGGGTGGGAACCATGGGGCGCGGGGCACAGGCAATTGTACCATTAGGTTGTAACAGAAGGAATGTCTACAGTCGAAGTTAGAACTGTCACACGGACCATCCTGAAGATGGAAAAGCAAAAGGTCAGTAAGAATTACTGTACTGGGAGCCAGTCCCATGGACTGGTGGCTAAAGGAGGTTGAATCCTTAACCAAGGATGGCTATGGATCAAATCCCAGTCCCAACAGCTTGAAAAACATGCTAGGCACATGTGGAGACGTGGAGAAAGAATTGCGGCATGACTGTGCCGCAGGGAAAGTGCTTTCTCCCTCTGTCTCTCTGCCTTGGCTCTCATCCCTTGAACCTTCTTCAGTTTCACAGGTCTCATTCATTCTCTCTCTAGTCTCCCAGTGTCTCTCTATAATTTGCTGATGTTAAGAGACAACCTAAGTTGTCTAGTAAACATGTAATTAACATGATTCATACGAATGTATTTCAGGGGTATAACTAAATTTGAGCATGGTTTGGTCAAAAGATATGCTTCATTCTCCCCCTCCCCCTCCTCTTAGCAGCCTTATAGTTGACATTCTTGTGCACTTACTAGATGGAAACGTTGTTGACAGTGACAATGGCACTGTTCTCTCATTTTAATCTTGAGGTTTTTTTTAGAATCGTTTTATTTCATTTAACTTTATTTTAATTTGATGAGAGAGGGACAGAGTGTAAAAGAAAGAGAGAGAGGGAAAGTGCAAAAGCAAGTCACTAGGTTCTGGGACTCAAACCATGGTCGGCCATGTGGGAGTACAGCGCCCTTAACCACCATGCCACCTGCTGGGCCCTTACTCTTAAGAGTTTTAATGAACCACGCAACTCTTAAATTATGAAAAATAACTGCACACTGACACTGACCATCCCCTGGGGAACTCGACATCATCCTTTTCCCTTAGTGTAAATTTTAAGACCTTGGGAGGTATTTATTTCTGTGCTCATGGCTTAGACCTACAGCACCACCACCACCAGGATTTTCTCAGACATCTCATAGGTACCAACTTGGCTTTATGTGCATCAGTTAAACCCTTCCTCTATGTCTAGGCCAAATATCTCTCTCTCACTGTGTGCTGTGATTTGAATATGCCTCCAAACTTCTCTGCTGAGACTTAATCATCAGGACGATAGTATGAGGAGGTGAAACCTTTAGGTAGAGATTAATTCATGTGGGCAGAATCCTCACAAGTAGGATTAGCAACTTTTCAAAAAGGCTGGAGGAACTAGCGCTCATTCCTTTTCAAGCTTCCCCACTTCTGCCATACAAGGATATTTAAATGGTGCCACCTATGAGGAGATGGGCCCTTGCCAGACACCAAGTCTGCTGGCACCTTGATCTTAGACTTTCCAGCCTCCAGAATGGTGGGAAATAAACATCTGTACTTAATAAATTACTTGGCATTGGATATTTTATTATGGGATCACAAACTGCTCAAGATACTGTGTCAGTCTGAGATCTCGCTCCTGGCACCTTGGGGAGCCCTGGCCTGGCTTCCTGTGGCTCATACTCTTCTCAATGACCCAAATGAGGGAGCAGGGCATTGGGGCAGAGCCTTCATGATGCCTCCCTAGATTCTTTACTCCTATGCATTTTCTTCACCTCCCCCCCACCCCACTTACCTTCTCTGTCTCACAGTCCCTACTTGTCCTTATGCTAGTTAAACACCGATACATCTGCACAAGAATTTTGTGATCCTGAGTCCAGCAGGTAGCATGGTGGGTAAGGCACTGAACTCCCACATGGCTGACCACGGTTCAAGTCCCAGACCTAGGTGGCTTGCATTCTCACTTTCCCTCTCTCTCTGGTCAAATTTTTAAAAATAGTAATAGTGATGAATAAAATAAATAAAATAATTCTCTTTTTAAAAGGGTTTTGTGATTCTATAGCTACTGCTGCTTGGAGAAGCCCCACATGCTTAGTTAGAACTAGCAATATATGCCAAGTGCGGTAACTGATGAAATCTTTATACAGCCCTGAGAGGGGCATATCAGCCTCACTTCACAGATGAGAAACTGAGCTTCAGAGAGAAGGTCCAATTGCTAGTTCTTGAACCAGGTACGGTCCACTGTGCACCACTGCCTCCAGTCAGGAGAGGATTTTTAGGGTCAGAAAAGTGCCTTTATTTCCTTCTTTTCTATTTGATACTTTCTTTTTATTTATTTTAAAAACACAAGTAATGTATGCATGTAGTTAAACATGTCAAACCATACAAGGAGTACAAAATGGAAAAAAGTCTTTCTCTTTCACTACCTCACATTGGCATGAATTGCCAACAGCTTCTTGTTTAATGATTAAAAACTGGGACCAGCAGTTGGCGTAATGGCTATGTCACTGGACTCCCATGTAGTCGACCGTGGTTAGAGTCCTGGACCCAGTGGCTTAAACTCACATTGGGCACGTGTGCATACGTGCCCAAGATCCCAAGAGGAGAGTGGAGGAGAAGGGATTGCAGTGTGGCCATGCCCCCTGGGGGGTGATTTCTCGCTGTCTCTCTGTCTTTCTCTGTCTTTCTGGTGAGCAAATGCGAACTATAGCAAAAACTTCTCAAAAAAGAAAAACAAACAAACAAAAAAACTATGTGCAGGGGCTAGCAGGTGGCATGGTGGCCAAGGGTGCTGGACTCCCATATGACTGACCACGGTTCGAGTCCTGGAACTGGCAGCTTGCTTTCTCACTCTCTCTCTCTCTCGTCAAATTAAAATAAATAAATAAAGGTTAAAAAATAATCCATATATATATATATATATATATATATAAAATGAATGAATAAGTAAAATAATTCTTTAAAAAAAAAAAACTATGTGTAACACACATACAGTGCTTTTTATTTCTATAAAGTAGTCTTCTATATATGCTGTCCTATAAATTGCTTTTCTCTTTTAATAATATCTGAGGTGTTGTTCTTTTTTTTTTCCATATCAGCATATATAAGAACCTCAGTTTCCTCTCTCACCCAAAATAAAATCCAAAGTCCTTACTTAGGCTAGTATAACAAGATGAAAAGACCCAACAAAGGACATTACAGAAAGTATAACCCAATGTCACTTGTGAACAAAAATGTAAAATTCTAAAACAAAATAGTAGTAAACCAGCAGATGGCATAATAATTACATTGCTGGACTTCTAGTCTACCGCAGTTTGAGTCCTGAGCCAGGTGGCTTATAAATCTCACACCAGAAAAGACAGCTCAATTCCTGTAAAACAAAACAAAACAAAACCTCATGTCACATGTGCGTGTGTGGGTGCCCAACATCCCGAAAGGAGAATGGAAGAGAAGGGATTGTGGCATGACCATTCCCCTGGGGGGTGATTTCTTGCTTTCTGTCACTCTCTGTCTCTATGGCGAGTGCATGTGCCCTATAGTAAAAATCTCTTTTTTTTAAAAAAAAACACAGTTAACCAAACCCAGCAATATATAACCCTGAACAAACTGAGTTCCTTCCAAGAGATGCAATGTTAATTGAACATTAGGAAATCTATCTATACTACACAGACATTAATAAAGACGAAAAGGCACCACAACCATCTCACAGAGAAAAAAAGCATTCATGATAAAAATAGGAATAGAAGGGAACTCCCTGAACCTATAAAATCTATGGTCTTATGAGTCAGTAGGGTGGCTATCACTGGGGGCTTTTGCAATAGTCATGTCTTGATTTGGTTACCCAACTTTGTATTAGGCAGTACAAGTAGGCATGAATTGGGTACTTTAAGTATATGTATTAAACTCCATTTGAAAATGCTGCTTAAAAAACTTTTCAAGGAACATTTTTAAATCTTCCTGGTGATTTCAAAAAGGTAGAGGATGCATCCAGTGGGTGCAGAGTTGATGAAGACAGGACGGGGAGATGGGTGGGATGAGGCAGAACCAGAAACTGGATGTCGAGTGATTAGACACATGGATGTTGGCCTGACCCATGGCGGGGTGTTGCAGAAGTGAGAAAGAAAGCTAATAAGCCAGGAGCTGAAGTCTCAGTGAATGAGAGGGCATCATTTGGACATGGAGTGCAAAGATAAGGATGCATTATCAAACAGAGAGATCCGTTAGGAAGCAAGGAATCAGCGCTTAGATTTCCTCCCAGAGTGCATTGTAGCGGGAGGAAATCTTCCTTCTACCCTCCTAGGTTCTGAGGCTGGGCCCGAGAATTAAACTAACATAAGGCAGGTTGAAAGAAGAAAAGCAAACAAGTTTTATTTGTTATTTTTACATGCCCAGGAACCTTTTTAAGAAAAAGGATGACTAGAAGTTGTTAGGGGCCAGCTCCATAGAGCAGTGGTTAAGCACTGTGCTTTAGGAACCAGATCCTACATGGCCAATTAAGTTTGAATCCTGGCCCTGATGGCTTGAAAAACACTCTGGGTGTGTGCCCTAAAACCTGACGGGATGGAGATATCGAGGGAAAAGGACTGTGCTATAACCACGTCCCATTGGGGGCTGATTTCTCTCTCTCTCTCTCTGGTGAGCATATGCACCCTCTGGCAATAAAAAATAAATCAGTAATTTTTTTAAAAAAATAGAAGCTATTAGACATAGAGACAGAAAGCAAGAAATCATATTCCCTCTCTCCCCGACAGGGACGGCCACACTGGAATCCTTTCTCTTCCATTCTCCTCTCAGGATCTTGGCATGTACACAATGTGTGTGAGTTTTAAGCCACCAGATACAGGACTCGAACTGTGGTCAACTCTGTGGGAGTCCAGTAACATAAGTATTATGCCATCTGCTGGTCCCTATATGCCTGTTTTTGTTTGTGTTTTATTTGCTGGGGTATACCTGTTCTCTCCAGAGAGAAACAGAGAGAAAGAGAACAAGAGAGAGAAAGCACCCCATGTTGCCGCACGGCCATATTGAAATCCTCCTCCAATCTCCATCCTTCAAGCTCCATCAGGATTTTCAAGCAATATGGGGCTGGGTTCTGAACCCATGGTCAGCCATGTGGAATCCAGCATCCTTAACCAGCAGGTCAAAGGGTAACCCTATATTCCCTTTGGAAATGTGAAAATGTGGCATGCCAATGTGAGCATTCTTGTCATACCCAACTATAATGGAAGGAAGAGGTCAAGGGCAAAGCGCTTTGCAAATCGCTATTTTAAGGACTACCTGCTGGGTCATTTCAAGAAAATGGCCTGCCACGATTTAAGACTAGTTTTACCCAACAACTGAAAATGAAACTGCTTGCCATGACATTAAGACTGGCTGCTGCCACTCACCAATCAGCTGCTGTAGGTGCCCCAAGTGCCAATAAGCTCTCTTTCAAAACAGATTATGTAATTTTTTCCTCCCTCGTAGAAGTCCTAAACTGCTAAACTGGGGAGCAGCAGTTGGTGTAATGGCTATGTCACTGGACTCCCATGCAGTCGACGATGGTTCGAGTCCCGGACCCAGTGGCTTCAACTCACACCAGGTGTATGTGCTTGCGTGCCCAAGATCCTGAGAGGAGAATGGAGGAGAAGGGATTGCAGTGTGCTGTGCCCCCTGGGGGGGGGGTGATTTCTTGCTTTCTGTCTCTCTGTCTTTCTTCTCCCTCTGTCTTTCTGGAGAGCACATATGCCCTATAGCAAAAACCTCTGCAAAAAAAAAAAAAAAAGTCCTAAACTGTCCTTGTTCCTTGGACATTCAAGAGGCCACCCTGACCTTCACTTGTGTTACAAATCACAATCCTAACTATTATTCTCAAATCAAACCTTTTATATTTTAGATGCATCTTTACCTTTTACTTAACTTTGACAAAACTGTAGGGATATGACAAGATAAAGGCTGGGCCAGCAGGTGATGTGGAGGTTAAGGCCGCTGGATCCCACATGGCCAACTGCATGGTTCATGTCCCAGACCCAGTAGCTGGAAAATCATGCTGGGCAAGTGTGTGTGTGCCCAAAAGCTCGAGACAAAAATGGAAGAGAAGGGACTGTATGTAGCATGGCCATCCCACCTTGGCAGGAGTGGAGAGGAGGGGTGATTTCTTACTTTCTCTCTCTGTCTCTCTCTCTCTCTTCAGTGAGTACACATGCCCTGTAACCAAACAAACAAAAAAAAGTGGGGAAAAAAAGAGGCTTGACTCTCACTGGTTAAATGTAGGAAAATGACTAGCAAATGTATGGGGGAAACTAATGAAAGATAAATACAGATTCTAGTAAGGTCTTGTTCATAGATTCATCTCAGTGTCAACTCTCTCTCTGATAATGAGAATATTCATCTCTCCCTGGTATTGAAAGGGCTCCTTTCACAAGGAAAGCTTTATGTCCTGCTTCGGGAGTAAAGAGGGGGTCCAAGAACCTTTCCTGCATTTGTTGTTGCTGCATTGCCTTCAGCTCAACATAATCAATATGCCAGAATAGCATGTTTGGGATGGTATGCTCTAAACTCCTTCAGCACCTTTTTAAAAACTTTTATTTTGGGACCAGCAGTTAGTGTAACGGCTATGTTGCTGGACTCCCATGTAGTTGATCATGGTTCGAGTCCTGGACCTGGTGGCTTAAATTCATGCCCGGCGCGTGTGCATGTGTGCCCAAGATCCCAAGAGGAGAATGGAGGAGAAGGGATTGTGGCATGGCCATCCCTCCTGGGGGGGTCATTCCTCACTTTCTGTCTCTGTCTCTCTCTGTCTGGTGAGCACACGTGCCGTACAACAAAACAAAACAACTTGTATTTTAATCTGCCATAGGGCATGTGTGCTCGTTGGAGAGAGAGAAGGAAAATGAGGAAGCTCCCATTGGGGAAATTACCAGGCTGCCATCCACTCTTCTCCTGTCTCTTCTTGGGATTTTGGGTACACACCTACATGTGCCCAGCTAACTTGCCACCAGGTATGGGACTCCAATTGCACAGTCAGCCATGTTGGATCCAGTCGCCTCAACTACCACATCATCAAATAACCCTATTTACCTGTTTCTTTCCATCACTTTTACATTGCTCTTTTTTTTTCAATCTGAAAACAGTCATTCTGCTTATTTACTGACTGGATTACAAAAATAATCATGGTGGATATCTTAGTTCATCCTTCTAATAAGTCTGTTGATTTGGTCTTCCCTATTGCCAGCATCTCCACCTTCTACAAAATGGGTGGTCTTTTTCTTCATTCCACCTCATGGAGAAGATAATTTGAAGGGTCACAGGAAGTTATTTGGTTCTCCAAAGTGTTTTCCAACAGTATAGATTTCATGAATCAGATCCTCCATGCAGACGATGCCAAATTTACCAGGAGGTTGAGTAATCAAAGAGTTATCTGTCAAAGCAATCCATATCTTATTGATTTTGCCATAACCATGCTTGTTGATCAGTTCATTTAGTGACTTCATTTTCAGGCACCCCCATGCAATATGTGGTTTCACAATTCTCAGCATGTTCATTGAGACCTTGCTGAGCTTAACAAAGGTGCCATTGAAAATCTGGCAAAGACAAAGAAGCTGCAACACCTTTCAAACCTTTGGGCTCACTCCATTGATACCTCTTATTCTCAGGACAAATGCCAATTTGGGTTCTGCAGGTACATAGAAGTTGCCAGCTTTTCTTGCCCTCCTGGCCATGCAAATCTCAGTTCTGTACATCTGTCTATATTCCTTATTATGGTGCTTAGCTTTTTCATGGATAAGCTTCCTTCTTGCCTATTGAAGCATCTTTTGAGCATACCTCTTTCTCAGGCGCTTGATCTTCAGCGCCACAAAATTCCTTCACTTTTTCTTATGGGTTTCCTACACAGCAGGAACTTTTTCTTGGTTTCTTTCACAGCAAGAACCTTCTTTTTATTCTCTGGAACTCCTTCCATGGTTCCAGCCAGAAAAGAGGCAATCATTTTTACATTGCTTTTAATCCCCAGAATAGTCCTGAAAAAATATTTTGTTTTACTGTTAGGGAAACCTAGACTTAGAGCTAGGATGACGAGCCACAGTTCATGCCTTAGGGCTACTTACCTGCCAGGAAGTGGTGACATGAACACTGACTCTGTTGGCAGCTGGCTCAGAACGTAGTACCTCTGCTGGTCATCAGTTAAGAGCAAGATAGGATACTGTCTCCTTCCTGGGTGGTCACAAGCACTATATCCCTCAGATTTAACATATGTGTCTTCTTCTTCCCCTTTCCCCAACATATTCACCGAGATCCCTGCAAGTAAAAGTCTAGGAAAGCTGGGATCATAAAGAAGGGTACGCAACCATTGCTCTATCAAGGGAGGCTGAGAAAGACACTCTTCCACGCATAAGCCTGTACCAGCAAGTGACATTAATGAAGACCATCTGACTTTTCAAAATGCTCTTAGGCCAGTTGTCTTTCTCAAGTATGGTCCCAAGACAATTTTTGTGAGGGAATGGGGGGATAAGGTACCATCCTCAGGATCACAACTGTCCCAACAACACTAACCAGTTGTTTTTTCTACTCTCATTCTCTCACTGGTATACTATACATAGGCATTGTAGCCATCATCACCTAATGACTAATCAATGTGTGAATAAACTTTAAACTATCTGTTGGTTTTTTTCTTTCATGTGAGAGAGAAAGCGGGAGAGATGGAAAGAGAGAAAGAAAAGGAGAGAAAACAGGTATCTTTGACCAGGTTCTCCTGCACGAGACTCCCAATTAGCAAGGATCAAAGGCACACACAAGCATACCCAGAGTGTTCATTTTGTCCCAGAAACCTAACTGGGCCTTCTATATAACTTCCAGTCTCCCAAGTGGTGGTGCTATGTGTGCACCACCGCTCTGGGCCACAGTGTTAAATTCTAAATCAGACATGCCCATTGATACAACCTACATAAACAAAAGTATTTGAGGGTCAAAATTATAATTTTCAAATGTATAAAGAGTGTCCTGAGTAAGATTACTAGATTTAGCAAATAAAAATGCTGGCACCCAAGCCAACTACAGTGGCAATGATGCTAGGTCCACTGGGAAGGTCATAGGTTCCCAACCCAGGTTCTCCCTGTACAGGCCTGCTGGCTGGCTGAGACTAAGGCTACATTGAGACATGAAGACCCTGTTGTGTGTTTCTCTCTTTAAAGGAATAACTACATAAACTTTAAAAAATACAGGACTCCTGGGGCCAGCAGGAGGCATAGTGGTTAAGGCACTAGACTCACACATGGCTGGCCTACCACCACTCAAGGCCATACCCAGCAGCTTAAGACTCACCCCTGGGGTGCCTGTGAGTGCCCAAAATCCCAAGAAGAAAATGTTGAAGGGATCTCAGGGTGGCCTCCCCCCCTGGGGGTGATTTCTCACATCCACTCTTTTTATGTCTCTGGTGAGCACATACACCCTACAGCAAAAAATCCCTCTTTAAAAAAAAACAGGTCTCCAAATTAAATTTAAATTTCAGAATGGTATGTCTTATCAAAATATTCAGGATGGGCACCAGAATGAGAGTGGTCCAGAGCCTTCCGATGGCCACATGGCCGCCACCGTTCCAGTCTCAGCTGCAAGGCTTGAAAAACAGCCAGTCATGAAAAAAGACTGCCCTTTGACAACTGCTGGGGAGGGTGTGGGAGCTCTCTCTCTCTCTCCCTCAAGCACATCTACTCTCTGGTAAGAAAAATACATTTTCTTTTTTTTAAAAAAGGTTTTTGCTATAGGGCACGTGTGCTCACCAGACAGAGAGAAAACGAGAAAACACCCCCCAGGGGTTATGGCCACGCTGCAATCCCTTCTCCTCCATTCTCCTCTAGGGATCTTGGGCACGCACGCACCTGTGCCTGGCGTGAGTTTTAAGCCACTGGGTCCAGGACTCAAACCGTGGTTGACTACGTGGGAGTCCAGCAACATAGCCACTACGCTAACTGCTGGTCCCAAAATACATTTTCTTAATTAAAAAGAATTCATTGCATATCTGGAATTCAAATTTAACTGGGTGTCCTGTACTGCGCCGGACAATTGAAGGCCAGAGCCTGTGAAGTCTGAACTGCTCTCGCCCACAGGGAGCGGAATTGCAGCCCGTGCCTCGCCGCGCAGCTCCCTAGGGGCACTTCCGGTCAGATGGTCGGATAGCCCCGCCCACCCGGAAGGCTCTGCGGGCCGTCGGGGGCGGGTCTCACCGGCCAGGCCCCGCCCCCAGCCCCGCCTCCCGGGGGACTCCGAGCACCCAGGGCTGGTGCTGGGC